ATGTGAGGCCAAGGGCATCGGAGCCAGCCTGGGGGCCGAAAAACAACCCTCTCTGCTCACATGACGGCTGATGACAGCGAAAAATCAAATTATTTTTAGCCGAGACAGCTGTTCCCTGGCAACCGAGGCCTGGAAGAAAGACAGACGAGGCACCGGCTCAAAGCCTCCTTCTCCACCCGGCTCACCTACGCACACACGGGTGCCGCAAGAGACGTGGGCCCTTGCACAAGCGCCACGTGCAGGAAAGGCCCGCCCACCTGTGTCCAAGCGCCACGGGGGGTGGGCACCAAAAGCACGGAGATGCCCAGCCCAATCGGACAGAGGCCCCGCTGGCAGCAGACGGGGCATCGTCCTGGGCTACCCGGGGAGGCTGTTTGCAGAGATGAGCCCGGGGCAAAATCTTTTATTCATGGCTTCCTCCAGGGAGGGTCAGGAGCCTTGGTGCCTCTTGCGGGGCTAAACAGAAGCCAGAGTTGCCGAGTGTGCACTTGTGCAGAAAATCCTGTTGTGTCTAGTGTGAGTCAGGCCGCTGGCATCCCAACTGGGAGCCCTCGGTTCGTCTGGGTTCCTCCCCACCCAGGTGAGGCAGGGAGGAAAGGAAGGGGAGCCCAGAGCAACCTGGGGGGGGGGCTGGGGAGGCAAAGCCAGCCCCTCCCCACTCTCTCCTGCTCCTTTGCGGGGGGGGGGAACGTGAGAAGGGGCTGCTGCTGCTGCTCCCCCCAGCGGTCTCCTCCTTGCAGGCCTCTCTCGGCTTCTGGCCCCCCCAGGGAGGAAAGGCTTGGGGGGACAAGAGGGAAGTGCTGGCCAGACCCACTTCGCTTCCGGGGCAGCAGAACTGCCCCCCTCTTAGCTCCCCCCCTGCAGTTTAGGGGAGAGGAAAACCTGATCTCAGTGTGCCCATTTCTGCTAACTGCCCCTCTTCCTTCGAGACCAGCTGGGTCCCTTTGCTAAGACCCACCCCGTAGCCGAGGTAGGACCGAGGCTAACCTTGGAGGCTTCCCCCCCCCAGCCGGGAAGAAAGGCCACGCAACTGGGGAGGGGGGAGGTCAGATCAAGCCACACAACTCTGCCCAGGTTTATTTATTTATGAGATTTATATACCGCTTTAAGTGCAAACACTCTCTAAGCCAGTGTTTCCCAAACTTGACAATTTTAAGGCATGTGGACTTCAACTCCCAGAATTCCACAGCCAGCGTTGCTGGCTGTGGAATTCTGGGAGTTGAAGTCCTCATGCCTTAAAATTGTCAAGTTTGGGAAACACTGCTCTAAGCGGTTCCCTTCAGCCTCTGCTTTCCTGCCGGTCAAGACAGATGGCACAGCGTTGGCAGGCGTTAAATAGGCCCCTGCCCCAAAAGCTGTGGGATCCTCATCCTGGGTGGCCCCCCCCAGCTCTTTCCCCCCTGACCCACTCTGGCGCTTCTCAAGGCCGCTTGGCGGGCACTGCCAGGCTGCGCCTCCCTTTCCCCCTCCAGCCCCAGGAGGAGAAAGTGGCTGCCACTCCAGGCCTCTCCTGCCTCAGTCTCCCAAGCGGAATGTCTTTGGATGGGCACACACAGAAATGACACACACAACTGCCCACCTACCGGGCGAGCAAACGACTGGGACAGAAAGCTGTCCTTTCCCAGAGAAACCCCTGATTGTGTGCCAACCCAGAGGGAGACCACCTTTGCTGGGCTCACCCACCACCCAGACAAACAGGGCCAAGGATGCCAGGAAGCCCCCCCTTTCAGGCAATGCGCCCCCCCACTGGCTGATCCCCAGCAAAGCTTCTGGACACCCACAAAAATGGGTACTTGGCACAGGAGAACAAGCAAGGAAAACCCCCCCCCTTCACTCTCCTTTCTCCACTGCCCTGTTCAGGTGCACCAGGGAGACTCAGGCACCAGGTGAGTCTGAACCTTGCCGCCCCCCCCTTCCGGGCACATGGCTGAGCCAGCAGAACAAAGTCCCCCATGCTGAAGCTGGGCAGCTTCTGGCAGTCTGGCTCACCGGGGCAGTGGGGGGGTTGCCAAGGATTCAGACCACTCTGGGACGCCCACCCTGCGGGGAGCCTTCCAGGCAACGAGGGGGGGGGCAGTAAGACTTTAATTGATGCTTCTCCGCCCCCAGTTCTGCTAATCCTTGTAATCACCTGCCCAGCAGGTAGGAAGTGGGCACACGCCCCCTCTGGAAGATCCCCCAGCCCCCTTGCTTTGGCAGGAAGGGCCAGCGATAACCCACCCCCCACCAGTCACCTCGTTCCCAAAGCGGAAGGAGGCTCTTAAGCCCCAATATGCTGCTTTTCTGTTCAGGCTAAATTACAGGCCGAGAGACGAGATGCGCTTTGATGGGGCCGCAACCGAAGGCAGGGCTGTCATGAGGCAAGGGACCCCCACGGAGAGCTGAGAGCCGGCGTGCCAGGACAAGCGGCAGCCCAGGCATGGCAGAGGGCAGGGAGGGGCCGTGGCTCGCAAGAGTGACGGCTTTGGGGGGCCCCCGGAGCTCCTGAAGGACGGGAGACCACCAGGAGCAGAGCTTGCAGCCATTCCTCCCCGTTATCAGGAGGATGGCAGGACTCGGGCAGGCAGAGAGCAGGGCAGCGCCTGGCTGGTACGGGCAGAGCCCATCTCTCCCTCTCTGTGCCCCGGGAGGATTCTTACAATACCTAACCGGCATCTGACGGAGGCGCTAAGGAATCCGGCCCCCTCCCCCTCCTCCGCTGAGCAAGGCAGGGCAAAGAGAAGCCGCAGCCAGAGACCCTTCAGCCTCCCCCCACTCTCTTGCAATGGGGGGGGAGGGCACTGGCCGCGTCTGGCCTCAATCTCACCAGCTCAGACAGGCCAGGAATCAAGGCAAAGCTGTCCCAGATCGGTCAGGGGCGGCAACGGCCTCCCTCGCTGGGTCTCCCTGTGTGCAGAGGGCGGCGTGTGCGCACACACACACACACAGACACACCCGTGTTTTGATCTGGGCTTTCTGACAGCTCCAGAGGGGAACCTGGACGGCCGGGAAGCGCACAGAGAAGGGCAGGGCCGCATTCCTGGCTGACTCAGCCTCAGACGCAGCGCTCAAGATCGCGGATTTGCGCCAACCGGCACCAAGAGTGGATCTGGTTGGGGAGGGAACGGGCACCACCAGGTTCCCACGTCTAAGGGCAGAGCCGGCACGTTCACCGGAGGCCCCAAAGGCAGCCAAGCCCAGGGAGCCGGCAATCACGGCAGCGTCACGAGGGCTCGGCTGCAGCCTGGCTGGATTCCTCCAGGATCCCTCCCCCACTGGGAGAAGGATCTCCTCCGCCACCTGAGCGACCGCGGCAGGCGGACCAGGCTGTGCCCAAATTGGCGCTGCCCTGGGCAGAGGCCAAGCCAGGCTCGGGACCGAGACGCCCGGATCCCCCAGGCCCGGCTCAGGGCAGTCGGGGGGGGGGGGGCAGAGAGAGCCAAGAGGCCGAGGCAGGGCAGAGCAGAGTCCAAGGACGGGGGCCTCAGAGCGGCCCCCGCAAGGCCAGCCCGGACGCTTGGGGGATCCTTTTTCAGGGCAAGACCCTCGGATCTGCCACCCGGGGGCCAGGCGGGGAAGGGGCGCTGAAGCAGCCAGGGCGGCAGTCGACCCCCCCGCCCTCCCTGCCAGTTCAGCTATGGGAGCGGGAGAAGCAGGGGCTTCGGGGGCTCAGCTCTCCCCAATGCAAAGGCAAAGGCGGCTCCCCCTCCCCAGAACAGGCAGAGAAGACCGGCCAGCCCCCCGCCACCACCCCCCAAGCGCTCCAGGCCGCTCCGGCAAGCCGGACCAGGGCAGGCCGCGCCGCAGCCCCTCCCCGGCCGCCCGACCCCCCGCCCTTCCTCTGCACCCCCCGCCTGGCGTGCCTGCCGGCCAGAAGCGGCGCCGCCCTTCCCCGGCCGCCCCTCTCCGGGGCCGGCGGGGCGGCCGCAGCGGAACCCCCCGCCCCTCCGCGCGCCCCCCGCCGCCCACCTTCCGCGGCTGCTCGTCGGGGCTCGGCGTCCTCGGGCAGCGCCCGGCAGGCGAGGCAGATGCCGGGCGGGGAGGCGGGCGCGGGGCGGGGCGGGCAGGAGTGTCGCGAGACCGGGCAGACCCGGCCCTCCCCGCCGGCGGGGCCGCTCGCTCTTAAAGGGACGCCGCGCTCCGGCCCAGCAACAGCCCCGCCAGGTAGGACGGCCGCCCCGCGGGCTCTGCGGCAGCGGCAGCAGCAACGGGGGTGGCCTTACCTGCGGGCCCCCCTGCAACAGGGGTGCAAATCCCCCCCCCGCTCGTGCCCAGCCCTCGCGCCCCTCCCCCAGTCGGACCCCCCCCCACCCTCTCCCTGGGGCACCGCTGCTCATCTCCCCCCCGCCCGCTGCCCTTTGTTCGCGGCTGCCGCGCTCTCCACGCGCTCGGGGCGCCCCCTGCCGGCCACCGCTGGGTGTCGGCGCGCTCAGGGCTGGTGCGGATCGCCCCTCCCGCCTCGGCTCCCAGGGTGCCCCGCGGCGCCCGCGCAGAGCATTCTGGGAGCCGTAGTCCCTTTGGGCTCCCGTCGGGGGGGGCGGCTGAGGGTCCCCCAAGTCCGCCAGCCCCGTTCCTCTCGGCCTGGGCCCGCCGGGCTTTCCCAGTGAGGCTCCTCCGCGGCTCCGAGCCGGCTGAAGGGCCTCCCCGTCCAGGCCTCCCGTGGAAAGCGGGCTGAGCCCCCCCACCCGGCCTGTCTCCCTCCCCCCGGAGCCGGCGAGGCCTGCTCTTCCCCCGGCCCGTCCCTCGCGGGGCGGAAGATGGACGGGGAGCCCGGAGCGGAGGAAGGCGGCGAGGCCACGCTGGGGCCCTTCGTGACGTAGGTGCCCCCCGGGCCCGGGGGGGGCCCATGGGGGGCAGAGGGACCCCTGAGCGGCCGCTGGGCAGAGGAGCCGGGGGCCTCTCGGGGGCCGGGCTAGGGAGCCAAGCGGGGCCCACAAGGACGGTCCCCCGGGGGCCCTGCTGGCCACGCAGAAGCCCCCTTCCCAGAAGGGTTGGGGGGGGGAAGGGAACTGGGGCGATCCCTGCGCAGTCCCCCCTCGGCAGGAGCAGAGGAGGCCCGACTGCTGAACCTCTGGGGGTCTCGGAGGGGCTTTCTCGAAAAAGCAGCTGGGCTTCCTTGAAGACGTTTCGCTTCCCCTCCAGAAGTGAGAAGTGAAACGTTTTCAGAGAAAAAAGCAAAAAATTCCATTTCGGGTGAGGGAGGGTCTCCAGAAGTGATTATTGGGCCCAGCTGTGAAGTGGGGCCTCTGTGGAGACCGTCCACCATTCCGGACCCAAGGGGGCTTTTTCCAAAAGGCAACTGGGCCTTCTTGTTTTTTTTCCTTGAAGATGTTTCGCTTCCCATCCAAGAAGCTTCCTCCGTTCAGACCGACTGCTGGGGAACAGAAGGATTTATATTCCTTGTGGTCATCTGGTCCTTGGCCCTCTGGCTGAGGGTCGTTGGGGCCACTTGGGGGTTTATCTGGGCCACCTGAATCAGGGTGCAAAGTCTGGTTGCCGTTTGAAAAAGCCCCTTTGGGATCCCCGTGAGACAACCTGGATGAGGGAGCGCCTCAGAGACATTAAGTGCTTTGCCTGCGAATCTCAGCATACACCTTATAGTACAGATAATGCTTAATTTACAATCATTTCTTTAGTGAGCGTTCAAAGTTACAACAGCTCTGACAAAGGGGATTTATGACCAGTCTTCACACATGACCATTGCAGTACGTGATCAGAATTTGGACATTTAGCAACTGGCATGTACTTACGACAGTTGCAGTGTCCCAGGATCACTTTTTGTGACCTGACAAGGTCAGTGAGGAAGACGGAGTCACTTAACTGTGTTCCTGCAGTGATTCACTTAACAACTGTGGCGAGAATGGTCATAAAATGGGGCAAATTTCACTTAACTGTCTTGTTTAGGAATGGAAATTTTGGGCTAATTTGTGGTTGTCAGTCTGAGGCTGCTTTATTGAACAGGGAGACGGGTCAGCCCTGGGGCTGCCTGAGTGGCCGGTAGGCGGCAGGGGGAGCTGATCCAAGTGGCCCAGATCTTAGCCTCACTCTGCGAAAGTTCCCTTCCTTTTCCTTGGCATATCAGGAGATGCCTCTTGCTTCGGATTCAAGCTGCCTTTGCAGAATTTTTTTAGGTCTTGTGATATATTTATTGCATTTGACTTCAGTCTGTGGCACTGCCGCACTCCGAAGCAGAGGCAAAGGGCTGTGAATGTTAGTGGAAGTGTGAACTCATGTGGAACACAGGTTATATAAACCCCTTCAGGAGATGGTGAATTCAACAATATTTTCTGCCTCGGGAGGCGCCACGGGGTGTGTTGCTGACTGCATGGCTGTCTAATTCTTTTCTGTATCTTTGAAGCTGTGAAATGATTACAGAGGAATTGAATTAAAGCATGCTAATAAATATTAATAAGTTAACACCAAAGAACTCGGGGAACGGAAGATGATAAATGGGTGATGAAAGTTGAATCCATTTTTCAAGCCATAAATACATTGCAAAGTTTTCCCAAATGACCTGAAATCTGTTGTAATATTTCCATTTACTTAGTTGTGGGCTTTAACAAATCAGTGCTATGCAGGTAGTCCTTGTTTATCAACTGCCTCATACAGCAACTGTTTATCACCATGGTAAGAAACTAACTAACGTGTATGACCTTCACAAGTCTGTAAAGAGAAAGAAAGCTGAAGGAAGATCATAAGCACAGTTGTGGCTCCACTTAGCAATCCCTTCACTTAATGACCAAGTTGCCAGTCCCTATTGTGGTTGCTAAATGAGGACTACCTGTAAATCAGTTGTATAAAAAGAAGGATAAGTATTCGTGGATCTGTTAGATTAGTTGTGCCTGAAAAGTAAATAAATAATGCAATATAGAGCCAAAGTGTTATCTCAGTGGAGGTCTTTAACGTCTTGCCAGATCTATAACCCCAGTTATTCTGTCAATCTTTCTTTTGAGCTGCAATTATCACCAAATATCAACCGAAAGGCAGATGCCATTCCTTGGCCTTAAGTTTGGGACTCCCATTTCTGGATAGCAGAACCGCAGGCTGCTCCTAGATGGCAGCAGAGAGGAGAGTTTTTTTGGTCTCTCTCTGCTGCCACCTGCTGCTCAATTTCTGTGTGGCCTCACACGCATTTGCCCACAGATAAATCCCACTCCATACATTGGACTTTTGCACCGTTTGGCCCTTGGACCAGGAAGGAATCCTTCATCTCCGCTTTATTACACAGCGGTTAGTCCTTCCCGTTTGACCCGAGAGAAACTCTTAGGAGTCCTAATGGATAGAACTGAATTTCTGCTTTTGGTTGAACATTCAACCTTTCAAACAACTACATTTCTTAGGCTCACTGTACCATATTTTGTGGAGCTTCCGATAAACTCTTTTAATCTTTCTTCAGTATTATTTTACTGTTTTTTATATATATATTAATAAAAGATGAGCTTTTCTTCGGAGCAAATTCGCTCTGCTCCGGTTCCTTTGACATTGAGGATATGCCCCAAACTTTGAGACGGCTTCATCCGTCAGCACAGGAGGAACTATTCCTGCTTTCCTTCTTAGACTGAGCTTTTATTTCTGCAGTAAAACAACGGACTTCCAGGAAATGCTAGTTTTATTACGCCTTTGATTCCTTTCCTGGAATTGTCTCAAAAGGAATAGGAAGTGGCAATAGGGGAAATGACAGGATTGCCATGTAATTCAGATGAAAGCTGCAGCTGGATCCAGGGATGTAAGTCAGGGGTCTTCAAACTTGGCCCTTTGATGACTTGTGGACTTCAACTCCCAGAATTCCTCAGCCAGGCACGCATGCCTGGCTGAGGAATTCTGGGAGTTGAAGTCCACAAGTCATCAAAGGGCCAAGTTTGAAGACCCCTGATATAAGTGTTTCATGTATTGATTCCACCACCTTCAGACACTCCCTCTCCAGTTTTCCACATCTGAGCAATGTGAGATGTTTTAACAGCACAGCGGACTCTGTCCGTGCGCAAGAAAGCCATTTTCTTGCAAAAATAACGAGCTAAAAGCTAACGGATTTGCATCATCCTGTTTTCAAGGCAGTCCAAGATGGTCAGCAGATGCCAGCCCGAAGTCAACCCCTCCAGCGATGCTCGTTGCATGCCGGACTTTTGGGACAGGCTTGTTCAGCAGCCCAGGTGCGTTTCGTCATCCTGGCGGATAATATTGCGGGACAAAACACCTTTCAGGGAGCTTTCATTTTCTCTCCCTGATACAGGTAGCCCTCAACTCATAACCTCTTTTTTATGACCGTTCAAAGTTACAACGGCATTGAAAAAAGGTGACCGTTTTTCACAGAACTGTTGCAGCCTCTCCAGGGTTCTGTGATCAAAATCCAGACACCTGGTAACTGACTCATGACAGTCACAGTGTCTCCCTTTTGCGACCTCCTGACAACCACAGTCAATGGGGGAGCTGACTTAACAACTGCAGTGGTTTACATAAGAACGGTGGCAAAAAAGACGGTAAAATGGGGCAAAACTCACTTCCCAGCTGTCACGCTTAGCAACAGAAACGTTGAGTTCGATTGTCGTAAATCGAGGACTTCCTGTATTACTTTGTTAGGGGGTGGGAAGCCCTGGCTTGCTTTTATTTGCAAAAGGAAATTTTTGCTCCTTCGTTCACTTCCGGAAGATTTATTTGCCGATGAGACTAAGCAGAAAAGAGTCATCGTCACACTCTTTGTAGGTACTAAATCAGAATTTTCAAAGCTTCGTTTTACTTTGACTCGTCATTATAGCCGATTATTCCAAATTTAAAGATTTGCATCCAGCCTAGCTGTGTTCCTACGGCGGATTCTTTCTCCTAAGTTTAATATGTAAGGAATTCTGAGGTAAAAGCCAGTCGTACTTACCAACACGTTTTCCTTTCAGTTACCTCTGGATGGAAGAGTACCACGAGGCCCCACCCCTGCTGGTAGGTTTTAATGGCCCCGGAGGAGGCCTCCTCTTCAATTACAGGTTTTTCTCCTGCTTCTTCCCTGTGAAAAGTAGAGGCCGCAAGCAGAGTTTGTCCGTCGATTAAGCTGGGGTTTGTGGGCGCCTTTGGTGGACCCTGATGCTTTATAACAGTGTTTCTCAACCTTGACCATTTTAAGGCATGTGGACTTCAACTCCCAGAATTCCACAGCCAGCAATGCTGGCTGTGGAATTCTGGGAGTTGAAGTCCACATGCCTTAAAATGGTCAAGGTTGAGAAACACTGCTTTATAAGGAGCCCCACTGAGCAAGGACAAGGGAGGTTGCCATTTACCTGGAAAATCTCCGACACGCAAGGATTCAGTCTGTGAAGGAACCCCTGCCTTGCTGAGCCAGGTTTCGGGGTCCCCCTGGGAGAACCAGCCTCCTCGGGCAGAGGGTCCGAGCGACAGCAGACTCTGGCCTCGGGGTGGTCCAGAGGATACTGTGGCCGAAGGTCTTCCTTCCTCTCCTGTCCACACCTGAGCTGGGCACCTTTGTCTGCATCCTCAGAGCATCGATGACGGCCATTCCCAGGAAATAACTTTTGTACGGTGGGATATCTCTGCCACCTTTTGGGGCTCCCGCCAGGTGTAGCATTGGGGTGCCCTGGTCTTTGGGGAGAAGTCTCGGAGGCAGGACCCCAATCCTCACCTGATCCCATGAGCTGAGACGACACAGGCCCTCTGGGCAGGGCTGAGCGGCAGAGAGCAAGGCCGAGCCCCCCCCCCCCAAAAAAAAGGCTCTGGGGGGGGGAAGTGACAGGAGCAGCCTTCCGCTGCCAGGGGGCTAAGCCCACTACTCTGGCCTGGAAGGACAAAGACCCCCCAGTGCTAAATGATTCATTTGGCAAAGTCAGATGTGGCTTTAGACTGAGCATCCGGGTTTTGCCCTCAAAACCAGAATTTGAAAGGCAGGGTCAAGTTTTGCTGGATCGGTAGCCTCCCCTCCCCGGTATCCATCCTACAAAGGCATTCCTGATGACCCACCCAAATGGCTTCGCTGTTCTTACTCAAATGCCGCCTTAGAAATGGAAAAGCCATCCTGGTGATAGACAGGTTGATTGACAGGTGGAAGGGACAAGCTGCTGAAGTCTCCTGGGGGAGAGGAAGGGAGGAGGGGCCCCACATGAGCTCCAGCAGTTGCCACCTTCTCCTGAAGGAGAAGTGCTGCCCGGGACACGTAAAGGAAAGGGGGTGAATCTGGCTGCTAAAATTCACATCTCGTGCTAAGCTGGGAAATATTCTGCTTCCGTCCTCCACGCTTCGCTTTCCTGAATTAATTGTCTTCTGAAGCGGAGCAGAGCCCGCGTCTTCAGGGCTGAGGATCTTGTCACGCTTGGCTCACCCGCAGTGCCAATCATGGATGCCTTGGCCTCGCTGGGCAGGAGTGGGGATCAAGGGGGCTGATGACCCAAACAAACCTTCCCACCAACCCCCAAATCTTGCCACCCTCCCTGGCCCCAGCCCAGCCATGGTGTTTGGCCCACAGCCGTGGCGGCGTGCGGACTGGTGGGGGGCTCCCCAAAGCACCCTTCAATCCAGTCGACCATAAACCGCAGAAGCTGAGTTTAGTTTAGCACCATGGGCCTCGCAGAGAAAAACACGGTGGCCCCAAGATCTGAAGAGCCACGTGGGGAGGGGGCTGGGGAGGCTGTGAAATGGCTGGGCAAAGGGGTCTCACCAGCCCTGCAGATTCCCAGGTCAGTGAGTATTAAACCAAGATGAATCTTAGGTGGGGGGTGGGAAATCTGGGGTCCAGGCATATTAGTCAGCCCCCTTCTCGTGGGCCTTAGTATTCTGTAACATTTGATCTTCGGCATGTTTCTTTTTCAGATGAAGCGATTTGCATACAAATGGCATCGCCTGGGCTGAACAGGCCTTTTTTCCTTAACGCCCTTCCCTAAATGGCAGTCAGTAATGGTTTAACTTAATACATACGGAGAGTACAGAAGAAGAAAAAAATCTTTTTTTCTTTTCAGTGAGAGAAATTGTGTAGGTGAAGTTGGGAAAGGAGTATTTTTTTCTCTTCCCTTTTTTCTTTCATAGATGTAGAAGATAATTCCTCTTTTAACTTAATAATAATAAAGTTGGAAGGGACCTTGGAGGTCATCTAGTCCAACCCCCTGCTCAGGTAGGAAAGCCTACACCATTTCAGACAAATGGCTGTCCAGTCTCTTCTTAAAGACTTCCAGTGTTGGAGCGGTCACCGCTTCTGGAGGCAGGTAGTTCCACTGGTTTACTTGTTCTCAATGTCAGGAAGTTTCTCCTTAGTTCTAGGTTGCTTCTCTTCTTGATGAGTTTCCATCTGTTGCTTCTTGTCCTGCCTTCAGGTGCTTTGGAGAATAGCTTGACTCCCTCTCCTTTGGGGCAGCCCCTGAGATACTGGAACATGGCTATCATGTCCCCCGAGGTCCTTCTCTTCATTAAACTAGACACCCCTAATTCCAGCAGCCGTTCTTTATATGCTTTAGCCTCCAGCCCCCGGATCATATTTGTTGCTCTTCTCTGTACTCTTTTCAGAGTCTCAACATCCAAGCTTCCGCTAAATGTAGAATTACTTCCGATACTTTATTTATTCCTCTGCCTGGGGATCAGAGGTGTGTGGTTAAGCTCCGAGGGGACTGGTAAATCGCCATGGAACTCTTGCTGGTTAAACCATTAAGCAAAGTACTGGTGGCCCCTTCCAATCTTGGGATTGATAAGCAGAGGCTCCCTTCTTCCATGATTAAAGTTGAAATTATTCCCAATTCACTGAAGCCTGCCGTCCTTCTACGGAGAATTCGAACAGGGCCAAAATGAGGCCGGTTGCTGAGTCTCTCTTGGCTTCTCTTCTCTCCAGACGTCCAGCTGTGCAGCCCAGCGGCCTGCGGGAGACGAGGGGGGCCCTTGGCCCTGGGAGGTGGCCCCTACCACGCAGAGCCTCCCCTCCCCCAAGGAGCTATGTCAGAAGAAGAGGAAGGGTCCGAAGCAAAAGGGCCGGGGACACGTCCGGGGCTTGTCCGTCTTGTATCATCTGGAGGAGGTGAAGAGGCGACAAAGCAGCATCGACAAGTAGGAGCCCCCACCTTTTGTAGAGACGGAGGAGCGTCAGGTGGGTGGGCAGGCGTTTTGTGGCCCCGGGGCCAAAGGTCGGGGCCCGGTTCATGGATGAGGAAGTCTTCCAACCGCAGGATCAGCCCCATCGCCGGTTGGTTTCCATCTGACAGCCGCAAAGGGCCCAGACTGCCCCCCCCCCGAGCCAGTTCCTTTAAAACTCTGCCCAGGACCAGCTGCCCCCCCCCCCAGTGGCACATTTGACATACACATAACACAGGTAGTCCTCAACGTCTGACCACCATGGAGCCCAAAATTTAGGTTGCTAAGAGAGACATTTGTTAAGTGAATTTTGCCCCAATTTACCGCCTATCTTGCCACAGTGGTTCAGCGAATCGCTGCCGTCATTAACTGAATAACAGTTTTTAAACAAACCCGGCTTCTCCCCTGACTTTGCTTTTCAGAAAGTCGCAAAAGGGGGTCACATGAGCCCCTGGGACGCTGCGACTGTCCTATAGACGAGCCGGTTGCCAAGATTTCAGATTTTGAACCGGCATCCTTGCTGTGAAGGTCGTAACGGTGAAAAACAGTCATCAGTTGCTTTTTTTTTTAGTGCCATTGTAACTTTGAATGGCCACTAAATGAGGACTACCTGTACTAGGTGAGGAAAGGCACCAGGGGATCCCCAGTCCCTCTCTGCTGCCCCCTCTTGGTGGCTGGGATCCCTGCCGCTTCCGCTGGGAGCTCCAGTCCGGGCCTTGTAAAAGTACAAAAGTCCTCGACTTACAACCGTAATGGAGCCTGCCTATTTTGGCCATAGGTTGTGGTGGTCGCAAAGTGGGGCATCACGTGACCGGACCTGATTTACCGATCTCTTCCAGCCCTCCTGATCTCCCCTTCTTCCTTTCAAAGGCAGAAAGCGCAGGAGAGGGGGGCTCTGCCCCAGCCCTGCCCCCGAGGAAGTGGGACCGTCGGGGACCCGCCTGCGCCCCTGCTGACCCCCGCCAGGACGCCGGAGCCCTACGCGAGGCCCTTCCTGGGCAGAGGCACCAGCGCCCAGGTGAGCAGTCGGCAGGTGGGGGCGGCAGTCGCCCCATTGAGACGCAAACCAGGTGGGAGGCCGCTGTTGCCTAGCAACGTCGTCTGCAGTGAGAGATTTGAGTGGGTGGGCAGACGGGCGAGCTCCATTCCTCTCAAAGCCTCAGACTTGGCTTTGCGGGCTTCAACCCCCAGAATCCCCCAGCTAGCAAAGCAAAGAATTCTGGGCCTTGAAGTCCAGGCACCTGGAGGTGGACAAGGACTTAATTGTGCCAGAATAAACTGAAAGGGTCCCTTGGCCCCATCCAGCCTTTCCAGGGGACCCTCCCCCCAATTCCAGAGGAAGAGGCGCTCGGTTTTGGGATGACCCCCCCACCCACCCCCCACTGACGCCCGCCTTGCCTTGCAGCTCCTCCTCCACCCGCAGTGGAACCCCAGCCTGAGCGACGCCCTGAGGCTCCCGGAGGGAAGCCCCCTGCCCTTCTTTGCCCTGGCGGCCCACCACCGCTTTCCCCGTGGAGGAGGAAGAGCGGAGCAGCGACCTGAGGAATAACCGTGGCCAAGTGACCTTGGCGGTCAGCCTTGCCCCGTCCGGCTCCCTCCAGGGACAGGAGAAAGTTGCATTGGCCAGGAGTGTGTGGGGGGGGCACGTGCCAACAAGGGCTTCAGCATCGCCCTACGTGTCTCCTCAGACCAGGGTCTTCCCATTGGGGGGGGGACTTTTATTTCCCTTTTGCAGTCTTGCCAATGCCCCCCCCCCACTGGCATGCCAGAGAGCGCCACTTTCTCCCACTTTCTCCCTCTTTGCGCTGTCAATAAGCCTTCCCGCGTAGGCTGAGGAAGGAAGCGAACACCAGGGGAAAGTGAGGGCGGTTTCCATAGTAATCCTGGCTCTGGCGAAGGCCGGCCTCTCTCCCCCTTGGCTCTCCTCCTCCACCTGCGTGTAACGTAGGAGTAAGCTGCTCCGAGGAGCTCAGCCAGGCGTTTGGAAGAAAGAAGAGCCCTTGCCAGCCTCCTCGTGATCTGGCGGGGCTCAGGACTGGCAGAGTTCCTCTTCTGACGCCCCCCCAGACCTCCTTTTCCGCTGCAAGTAGATGGCTGTCCGTCTTCCCCCTTCCCCAGGCCTTTTGCCCACCCGGCTGACGTGTGTCCCTCTCCTCTCTCTCTCTCTCTTCCACTCCCTTAAAGCAAACGATAAAAAGCAGCACAATATTTCCTGCCAAAGGGGCAGAGGCAGACGTGGTGAGGACTCAGTTTTTAGAAAGTTAATACCCTTTGTAGATTGAGGATAAATTGTTCCCTGTTTACCAGGAAATTAGTTCTTGGAGTCTGATAAAGGATTTCCTTTATGCCTCCCCCCCCCCAAGACCAACCTCCCCCCTGCAGAGGAGAAGAGGGGAGGAGTGCAGGAGGTGCCAGGCTTCATGGCCTGGCCGGACTGACCATCAGGAATGGACCCTGTCCTTGTTCTTGAGGCTGGAGGCCTCGGCCAAGTTGGCTTTTCCAAGGTGGATTTTTGGGAGAAAATACCCCTTGGATCCTTTTTTCCCACAAGTTAGTAATCCTTTCTTGCAGCCTCGCGCATTTATTTTCCACTAAAAAGGGTGGGCGACGGCGCGTCTGTTTCTCAGAAATCGGCCCTCAGATTTTGACTGAACCGTGTCAGGCAGACATTGCCAGCAGAAAGGGGCTGGGGACGGATGGCTGGCCTTCGCCTCTGTTGGCTTGCTAGATGCATTTTTGAGGTACAAAAATGTTTTTAATTGGAGGCTGGCCAACGCTTGGATTTCGAGGCGCCGCTTGCAAGAGTTTTAAAGGCACAGTTGGCAAAATGTGAGTTTGCAGCCCTGCAGCAGGGGAAGAGAATGCCCTCCCTCCTATTCGGTCCAGGCTGCCCCCCCCCCCATTAGGCTCAGCAGTTTTCAACTCAAAGGAACTGCAGGTCCCAATTCACCAACCAGAACACCTCAGCTGCACGGAAAAGACAAACATATTAGAAGAAATCTGAATGTAAATTAATGCTCTGGTTGTGCTAACATAAAAGAGCGCCAGTTTGGCCGTTATCCTGTTTATCAAATATATTTATGGTATAAATATATACTGATCATTGCAGTGGTCTCTGCTTACTTTTATCGTGTCCGGGGGAAACACCTGCCCATTCGACGTGGCTCAGTCACCGTCCATGCCCGCCCTCCCCCCCAATACGGCGCCGTAATGCAAGTAGTCCTCTACTTACGACCATTTGTTCAGCAACCCAGCCCCCCCCCCACACATCCCAGGCACTGCATGCTCCTAATTACAACTGCAACAGGGAGAGCCAGGAGTGTGTGGGCATTTGGTTTAACCACCACAATGGCATAGGATCATAATTCCGGGCTCAATAGACCACCCATAGTGTCCAAGTCCCTCGCAGGGTGGGAATTAAGGGGATCCCTAAGCCCAGCCAATACACCAGGGGTGTCCAACCTTGGCCACTTTTAAGTCTTGTGGACTTCAACTCGCACAATTCCCCAGCCAGCAATTCTGGGAGTTGACCCGCAAGTGTTAAAGGGGCCAAGGTTGGCCATGCCTGCCTTAAATCAGGGGTCTTCAAACTTGGCCCTTTGATGACTTGTGGACTTCAACTCCCAGCCTGCCTGGCTGAGGAATTCTGGGAGTTGAAGTCCACAAGTCATCAAAGGGCCAAGTTGGAAGCCCCCTGCCTTAAATCCTGCCAAAGGACTCCCAAACTGGCATCGGTGTTTTGTTTTGTTTTGAACTCGGCCCCTTTAAGACGAGTGACCACCACCTCTGCTGCCTGGGGAATTCTGGGAGTTGAAGTCCACAAGTCTTAAAGGGGCCGAGTTGCGGAGAGCCTCTTCCTGAAATTGCAAGCGGGCTCCCGGCCTGATCCGGAGGCGGCTGCCGCGTTCTGCCCGAAGCCCCTTTGCGCTTTTTCTCTGCCCGGAAGGTCCGGATGCCCCCGGAGGAAAAGGGGAGGGGAGGAGCGGGGGGGCAGCCCGCGTGCATCTGGGGGGCTTCCTCCCCGCCCCGAAGCTCTACGGGCGTGTGCTCGGAACCGGGACCCGCGCCCGGGTGAGACCCCGGGAACCAGGGCGGGCTCGCTTCGCCCCCGCTCCGGAGCGCCTTCCGAGCCGCGGCGCCGGCGGGCGAGCTGCATCCCTCCGGGGGCGCTCCCTGTGTCCGGGGGCACCCGGACCCGCCTCGACGGGGAGGAGGCGGCGAGCCGGGCGGGCGGCGTCTCCCGGCCGCGATGCCCGGGCCGCCGGGGGGCTCCGCGATTGCCGCCTCCGTCTGCGCGCGGCGCCCCTCCCGGGCAGCCAGGCGCCGCCGCCGCCGCCGGCCGTGCGCGCTGAGCTCAGGGGCCGAGCTGTCACCGGCGGGGCGGAGCGGAGCAGCGGCGGAGGCGGAGGAGGCAGGAAGGGGCCGAGCGCAGCCGGCGCTGGGCGCAGGGAATGGCGGCCGGTGGCGGAGCCGGAGCTGCGGGCGCCTCGGCAGGTGCCACCCGGGGCGGGCGGGGAGGCTCCGGGGCGAGGGCAGCGGGGGAGGGAGGGCGGGGGGAGGGAGGGGCTCCGCGGGGTGCCGGCGTCCGGGAAGGGGCCGCTTCCCCTCCGCCGCTGACGCCCTGCCGCCCCCCAGGCTGGTTCGCGCGGAGCCTGCCCGGCAGAGCCCTCTGAGCGCCCCGCCCGCCCGCCCCGAAGATGAATAAGGCGGCCACGGAGGTCTCCGGTGAGTGGGGGTGGGGTCTCGGCCGGCGGGGAAGCCTGGAGGGCGGGCGGGGGAGGGGGCGCTCTTTTCCCACGGGGAGGGGCCGGGAGCGAGCCGCCCGGGGGGGGAGGGCCGGGGGCGGCCCGACCCCTGAGCGGTCCTTGCGCAGACGGGCCTTTGCCCCCCCCCCCGTTGGCGCCCGGGGCCTCCGCGGAATCCCGCCCGTGGACGGTGACCCCGCCGCCTCTCCGCCCCCCCCCCGCAGAGAACAGCCACCACCTGAAGGTCTTCCTGCCCAAGAAGCTGGTGGAGTGCGTGCCCAAGTGCCCGGCCCTGCCCAAGGAGCGCCTGCGCTGGAACACCAACGAGGTAGGGGCGCGGGGGGGGGGGGAACAGGCTGCTGCTCTGGAACCCCGAGTCCCTCCCGGGGGGGGGGCCGGCTGGGTCCTCTGGGGGGTGGGAAGCCGCCCCATCACACAGGCAGGCTCAGGGAGGGGAGGGCCCCTCTGGGTTGGAGCTCTGCCCTCTTCTCGGGGACACCCCCAGCAGGGCCCTGCCTGGCCCCTAATAATCGGTGCCCCTGTTTCCTGAGCCCCGGACGCCCCTCCAGCTTCTCTCTGCGGAGCCTCTGAGGTCCAGGTGCCCTTCTTTGGCACCAGGAAAGAGCCCCCCTCCCTTTTTAAGAATCACCCCGATAAGCCTGTAAAAAAGCCCCCTTTGCCCGTTAGCTGAGCGCAAGGGGTGTGGTAAGTGGGGGGTGGGGCAGATGCGATCCCCCACTTGAGCCTTTGCAGACTGGAGGGTTTTGTGTGTTTGTGCACAAAACAGGGAAATGGTTCCTGCAAGGTGCTGTTTTGGATCTGGAACAAACAAACCACCTTTAGGCCTTTTTTAAAAGAGCAGCATCCTAGGAACCAGGGTTGGGAAAGGAGCCCAGTGCAGCATCCCTGAGATGCTGCTCCTGGGGGGGGCGGGGGAGGGAACCAAACGGGCCTCCTCCCACATATCATCCAGGTCTCCTCCTCTTCTTTATCGTTTTTTTTTACCTTCCTGCTTCCTTTCGAGACCCTCCCCTCCGCTTGAAATCTGATTTGGGCCACTGGTCCAGATGCTTCGGTCTTGCTCAGGCTGCCGGCCTCTCCCCCCCCACACACACACTTTGCTTGGCCTTCTCAGTCTCCTTCCTGCAAACGGCCATTTTTCCTTTCTGTTTCTGCAACTTTGCTGGCCTCTCCTGCCTTCTCCCTTCTCCCGTCCCTTGCATGCAGCAGCTTCTAGCCTCTGCCTCTGGCCTGCTTGGTTTGGGGCAGGGGTAGGCAACCTTAGCTCTTTTATGACTGGTGGACATCAACTCCCAGAATTCCTCAGCCAGCATGGGGGAAACTTTGGCCCCTTCATGACTCATGGACTTCAACTCCCATGGGGGAACTATGGCTCACTTTAGGACTGGTGGACTTCAACTCCCAGTATTCCTGACCCGGCATGGCTCAGCTTGGAAACCTCTCCCTTTCCCCTCAGCATGGCTGGCTCAGGAATTCTGGGAGTTGAAGTCCACGAGTCCTAAAAGAGCCGAGGTTGCCTACCCCTGGTTTGGGGGAACGTCTGCCTTCAGTATTATTAGTGCTGCCCTGACGATTCTCACGGGGGGGGGGGAGACGGGCACTGGCCAGACTGGAGGGTGGTCCTGCTCCAAGAGTCCTGAGGACCCCCCCCCAAGTGCTGTGGCTTTCCCCTCCCACCTTCCTGCCCTTCGTGGACCAGGGGCCCTTGTGAAGGGGGCTGCAGCTGCCTGACCCCTCGGTCCCAGGTCAGGACAGGGAGGAGAGCTCGATGTTTCCCACAGAACAGCTGGTGAGAGGGTGGTTCTCGCAGGCCCTGCATCTGACTTGACCCCTGGCACTCGGGGTCTGGCCCTGGGCAGCTGTGGGAGGGCTGCAGGAGACATTCACTGCTCCTGCCAGGACTCCCGGGTGCCTCAGCTACGGGCAGCGCTTCCCTTCCTCTCCAGACAACGAGGTGACCCCGGAGATGGCCACAGTCCCTGGCTGCAAACTCGGGGAGCCACCTTGGGCCGGGAGGGGTCGGGGGACCTGCAGAAAGGATCGGGATCCCCAAGGAAGAATCTGGAGGGCGGGGCCTGGTCCAGAGAGGATACTTGGAGGGTGGACTCTGGGAGGGGAGGGTGAATTGGGGGCTCAATTGGAACCCTGCAGATCAGAGAGCCCCCCTTCTTCTCCTGCACCCCCAGCTCTGTCTGGGATGCTGGGGGGGCGTGGGGGGGAGGTAGACAATTGGCGGCTCTGTCCTTAGGCCAGGCTCCCTTCAGGGCGGACCAGGGGGAGGAAGGGGGGGTCCTTGTTTTTGAGGGTCCTTCAGTTGCACGTTGATCTTCAGAAAGATCCAGAAGCAGCTCCCACTCTTGGCAGGGGGGCTTCTAGGAGGAGACTGAAAAAAAAAATAAAAACGGCAAATAAAAAAAACCAAGACCCTGGCTGTCCTCGCCTTGCGCCCGCAATTGGGCCAGAACTCCAGTCCCTAAGAAAGGCAGCTGTGGGTTGTTCAGAGAAGTGCACCTGACTTTTTTTGGCACGGTTGTTAAGTGAATCAAACGATCGTTAAGTGGATCCGGGTTCCCTCATTGACTTTGCTTCTTGGAGGGCAGCTGACCCCGGGATTCTGCGACCCTCCCAAGCACCTGAATTTTGATCACATGACCGTGGGGACGCTGCCGTGGTCATAAGTGCGAGGACTGGTCATTGGTCAGCTTTCCAGTGCCATTGTAACTTTCAATGGTCTCTGAACGGCCGTGGAGGAGCATCATTTTCTCTCAAGCCTACCTTGGTCAGCTCCATGTTGGACCAAGCCTTTGTTTGCCCCCCCCCCGAGTGCTTGGACACTTGTCCCAGGAGCCGGGCCCCTTGGTGGGCCGTCCTGCAGAAGGAGGCACCGTGCCCACCACAGATGTTTCCCACCTGCCCAAGGGACTGTGGCCCTCCTGGCCCTCGGTCCCCACGGCGGCTTTCTTGTTGCCAGAGGGCGGAATTGACAGAAATGCAAAATGGGGGGGGAGCCCGTGCCAGGGGCTTCCCGGGGTGCGGTGGGCTCCAGCCCCTTCCGGTTTTCAGGGAAGGATCTCCCCAGATCCCCGGCGGTCAGACCGAACTCAGAATGGAGTGGACTGGAGATAATCGGACAGGGGCTCCAAAACGCCGCTGGGGAGCTGGCTCTGAGGGGGGGGTCTTTCTTGCAGGAAATCGCTTCTTATCTGATCACCTTTGAGAAACATGAGGAATGGCTCTCGGGCTCCCCGAAGACCAGGTAAGGGGCCTGGCCCTGCTGGCTCAAGGCCGGGGCACGGGGGGGGGGGGTCAGGGGCCCAGCACAACCGCCCACCCTTGGTGGAGCAGATGCTGCTGGTGCTTCGGGGGGCGTCTGGGGCAACCAGCCCCTCCTCCCACTTCTAACGGGCCTGCAAACTTTTGGCTGCAAACACACAAACTTAAAGAACGAAACCGGATTAAAAGACAAAAAAGGGCGCCCCCCCCCATTCCAGAATACAGGTGTGGGGAAGCTGATTTGGAGGGAGGTTGCCAAAACAGGTGAGGGTCCTCGTCCCCTCCACCCCACAACGTGGGCCACAAGATGCCAGACCCTCCTTGGCAGAAGAGAGAAGCCCCCTGCCCTCCTCTGCCTGCTTCCCAGGCAGAGACCCCAAAGCCCCCCCGCTGGGGAAGGGGTGGGCTATGGCCGCACCCAGAGGGCTTTCGGGCCTCCAGGCCTCCCTCCCAGGGGGCTCCCCACAGACGTGGAGGGGGGCTCCACAGCTCCAGAACTCCTGGACCCCCTGCTCACCGGGGTTCCCCCCCCCCCGGCAGACCCCAGAACGGCTCCCTCATCCTGTACAATCGCAAGAAGGTGAAGTACCGGAAGGACGGCTACTGCTGGAAGAAGCGCAAGGATGGCAAGACCACCCGGGAAGACCACATGAAGCTGAAGGTCAAAGGGGTGGAGGTAGGACCCCCCCCTCCAGATCCCTCCCCTCTTGGGAAAGGCCCGAGCGGCTCTGCAGAAGCCCCAGGCACTCTCTGGGCAGGCGAGAGTCGGGAGGGGACCCCAGGAGGGAGGAAGGGGGGGGCACTTTTGGGGGGGCAGCAGCGCTTGGGGGGCTGTAGAGACCGGGGTGGGTCGGTGGAGGGGAGGATCCAGCCCTGCAGGGGGGTTTACAACCACAATTTTGAGTCCAAAATTTCCTAAGTGAGACAGACGCTAAGTGAGTTTTGCCCCATTTTACGTCTTATCGCCTCCTTTGTTAAGCGAATCGCGGCAGTTGTCGGAAGGATCGTCATAAATATGAGTCAGTGGCCAACATTTTGATCAGGTGACATGTGGACACGGCAGCAGTCCTAAGTGTGAAAAACAGCCCTAAATCGCTGTTTTCACTCCCGTTGTAACTTCAAATGGTCACTAAACGAATTGGTTCTAAGCCGAGGACTACCTACGCTGGGGTCTGCTACAGGGAGGAAACACTCCCCCCATCTTTGCTTCCTCCCCCCCCCAGTGTCTCTACGGCTGCTACGTCCATTCGTCCATTGTCCCGACATTCCACCGTCGCTGCTACTGGCTACTCCAGGTAAGTCTCCCTGCGGCTGCTGAACCCCACGGGGGGGGGCTTTCCTTGAGGAATTGAGGGGGGGGGGTTCCGGAGGAAGGACAGCAGCAGGTGAGCTGGAAGTGGAAGCCCACTGCCCGTGTTCTCCTTCGTTCCCTGCGTTTTGGAATGGCTGCCTTAATTTCAGCTAAAAGATGTTATAATCTACGAAAAATTACCCCTTTATAACGTTAAGGCCACCCTTGGGGTCCCACATCCAGTTTTGGTCATCACGATGTAAAAAAAGATGTTGAGACTCTAGAAAGAGTGCAGAGAAGAGCCACAAAGAGGATTAAGGGGACTGGAGCCCAAAACATACGAAGAATGGCTGCAGGATTTGGGTTATGTCTGCTTTAAGGGAAAGAAGGACCAGGGGAGACAGAATAGCAGTATTACAATATCTCAGGGGCTGCCTCAAAGAATGGGGGGGGTCTACCTCTTATTCTCTAACACGCCTGAGGGCAGGACAAGAAGCAACGGATGGAAACTAATGAAAGAGAGAAGCAGGCTAGAACTAAGGAGAAGCTTCCTAACAGTGAGAACAATTAATCAGTGGAACTCCTTGCCTCCAGAAGTTGTGAATGCTCCAAAACTGGAGGTTTTTAAGAAGAGACTGGACAGCCATTTGTCTGAAATGGTATAGGGCAGGGGTAGGCCACCTTTTATGACTCATGGACTTCAACTCCCAGAATTTCTGAGCCAGCCATTCTGCAGGGAAAGGGAGAGGTTTCCAAGCTGAGCCAGGCTGGCTCAGGAATTCTGGGAGTTGAAGTCCACGAGTCCTAAAAGAGCCAAGGTGGCCTACCCCTAGTATAGGGTTTCCTGGCTGAGCAGGGGGATGGACTAGATGACCTCCAGGGTCCCTTCCAACTCTGTTATTCTTTTCTAAATGGAAAGCAATGCTCTCTCTCTCTAATTATGCCCTGAAGGCTAACATAGCATTCGTCAATCTCAACAATGTTAAGAGATGAAAACTTCAACTCGCAGAATTCCTTAACCCAGGGTGCTGGGTTGGGGAATTCTTGGGTGCTGGAAGTCTGCACCCTTTTCCTGAGGTTAAGAAACTGTACTTTCAATTCAGGGATCTCCAAAGTGGGCCCCTTTAAGACTTGTGGACTTCAACTCCTCTGCTCGCTGAGGGATTCTGGGAGTTGAAGTCCACAAGTCTTAAAGCGGCCCAGTTTGGATACCCCTGCTTTATAGAACAAATGATGATTTTAAGACAATATTTATTCACTGTTACTTAGAATATCAGTAAATGACTATAGGAGAAAAAGGCTCAAAATATTCGTTGTCCAAGAAATATGGCCCTGCTTCTCGGGGGGGGGGGGAGAGTCTGCCTGGCCTCCCCTGGAGTGGATCCTCAAGGCCCCTGATAGGTGATAAACCTCAGTGGGGAGGGGGTTCCCCTGGAGGGAAAGGTCCATTCCCAAGAAGGAAGAGGCAACACAGCCCAGATAGGAATTGTGAGAGAAGGAGGGGGAGGACAGCCTCTCCTTAATAGTTCCCACAGTACATTAATGTAGATGGAGACAGTCTGGAGTTTTCAACCCGGCAAGATTCCGTCTGCAGGTCTGAAGCAATAAAGAACTTGGCTAGGAAGAATCACCAGCGTTATTCTTGGTTTTGGGTTAGGGTTAGGCAACCTTGGCCTGTCCTCTTTTGGGCTGGGGGTCGCCAAGGCCTAGCTTACCCTCCCTGTCCCAGTTTGAGAGCCGGAATGTGGGCTGGATCCCCCTAAGAAGCACGAAGGAAACCGGGATTCAAGGCTTAGGAAAATTCTTCTCTGTCTGAACAAGGCCTAGTCTGCCTCCTTTGCCCCCCCAAGGGGCTTCCCTCTTGCCTCTCCTCCCACCCGGCCCCCCCTTACTCCCCCCTGCAGAACCCGGACATCGTCCTGGTCCACTATCTGAATGTGCCGGCCATTGAGGACTGCGGGAAGGTCTGCAGCCCCGTCCTTTGCTCCATCAACAGTGATCGCAAGGAGTGGCTGAAGTGGTCGAAGGAGGAGCTGGTCGGACAGCTGAAGCCCATGTGTAAGCAGGGCCAGGAGGGTGCAGGATGATGGGTTTTAGGGTTCTTCGTAGTCCTTGACTTACGACAGGGGTGTCAAACTGCCGGCCCGTGGGCCAGACGCGTCACCAAGAAACTGCGCCCACCCCATTGCCGGCAATGGGGAAAAAGCTCCGATACGTCACGCGATGTCACGATACGTTGCGGGTTTGACATGTCTGACTTACGACTAATCGCTAAGTAACTCTTCAAAGTTCCGATTGACCTACCTGGGAGAGATTGATGACCCAGGTTCGCAATTCCAACAGCCAGACCCTCCCCAAAGTGACGTGACCACGGGTTGCTGGGCAGCCAGGCCACCTTTACCGCCGTTTGGGGTGTCCCGCAGCCACACAACTGCCTTTTATAGCAGTCTTGCCAAAAAGCAGCATTTCCCGTCAGCATCCCGTAGGGTTTGCTTAGCAGCCGTAAAAAAGGTCATGTGACCAGCCCACTTTACAGCCATCACGAGTTTATGGTCTCCATTATAGTTGTAACTGGAGGACTACCCACCCTCTATTTCTGGAGAGGGCAGCTCTGAACGGCCGGCCAGCCCGCCAAGGCCAATGGCTGTGCTGAGCCTCTGACCATCAGCAGGGGCTGCTGAGAAGCGCCAGACCAGTGGCCGCCGCCTCGTCGTCCTCTGTTCCCAGGAGGCTCCTGCTGACCACAGCTGGGTGCCTCTGGACTGTCCAGGCCGTGTGCTTTGACTGCCCGAGAGCTGCCGCTGGGGAGCAATTGGGACAGAGCGTGCTCGAGAGAAAAAGCTTTCCTTTGCCCATCCGGTGCCCTTGGAAGATACCCGTGGCAGGGCAGCACCTCCCCAGGAGGCCCGGATTCTGCCTTCGGGGAGGGTCTGGGGGGGCAGGGGACAAGGCCGGGACCCTGGGCCGGACACGCCACACTCTTTCCTCCTGCAGTTCAGGGGATCAAGTGGACGTGCAGCAGCAACGGGAGCAGCAGCACTGACCTCTCTGTGGAGCAGCTGGTGCAGCAGATCTTGGAAAGCCACCAGGCCAAGCCGCCCCCCCGGACCCACGCCTGCCTCTGCAGCAGCAGCCTCGGTCAGCCGCCCCCTCGCCCCTTCCCTCCCTCCCTCCTGCAGCATGTGGAGCCCCCCCCATTCTGAGGGAGGGCGATCTGCAGGGCATCCCACCAGCTGAGGTGCCCTGACGGCAGTGGCTTTGGAGGGCACTAAGAGGGCTTGGCACGACTAGACAATGTGGGTCGATATCCAAAGGGTCAGGGTTAGAGAAGCAGGGCCACTTGGGGCCAGCTTAGTTTGTGTGCTTGTGTGTGTATGTGTTGAGAGAAAGAGAGAGAGGTGGTGCTGCCATGGCAGGAGGTCAGAGGGCCACAGGAAAGAGGGGGAAACACCTTCTGGACTGGACGTTGCCCAGTTATGGGGCGCACTGCCTGCCCCCTGCTCTCCCGGCCTGCCAATAAGCCAGGATCCAGGTCTTAGGCTGGAAATGGGGGCCGTAACCCCCCTTCCTCCTCCTCCTCCTCTCCTGGCAGGGAGTCCCGGCCACGTCCCGCACAAATGCAACAGCATTAAGCACCGGATCATCTCCCCGAAGGTGGAAGTCCGTCCTTGCCCCTTCCCGGCCCTGACAGAGGTGCAAAACATCTCCGGCAGCCCCGAGGCCCGAGCTGAGGCTGACCCGGCCAAGGGGCCTGTCCTGGACAGCAAGGGCACCAAGCCGGCCAAGACCACCTCCTCCACCATGGCTGACGCCGTCCCCGACTCCACGCAGCCGCCCCCTGTGCTGCCCCGGCCCGGCGGCTTCCCCAAACAGGAGCGGCCCCCTGTCACGCTGTCTGTCAGCCTGCCTGGCAGCACCATCTTCGTCATGGCTGGCCCGAGCGGGGCTGAGAAGCCGCTGGCCCTGACCCCCAGCCAGCACCTGGTCTCCGGAGAGGGGGGCGCGGCCCCCACCACGCCTCTTGGCCTGGCCGTCTTGCCCGGACTGCTCCTCTCGCAGAGCCTGGAATCCGCCATGGAGACCAGTGAGGGGACCTCGGACGCCTTCGACCCAGACCGCTTCCTGAACAGCCCCAAGCAAGGACAGACGTACGGGGGCGGCCAGGGCCTGCAAGCTGAGCCGGAGCCTCCAGAGACTGGCCCGGCTTCGGGCTACTCGCTCTACATCTCCACCAATCGCTTCTTCATCCAGGACGATGGGGCCAGGCAGGGGCCTGCAGCCCTCTCAGCCAGCCCCACAGTGGCCGCAGCGGAAGCCAAGAGCAGCCCGGAGGCACCCATGGAGACGTCAGGCGAAGGGGGCAGAGCAGCCGGGGGGGCCCCAGAGATCTCCCCCAAGGAGCTGCAGGAGGAGCTCCACTCGGTCATCCAGAGAGTGGCCGCGGCGGCTGCAGGAGGCCCCTTCAGCCTGCCCTTCGACAGCCATTTCCCGGACCTCATTAGCGAGCTGATGACAGAGAGCCCGGCAGCAGATGGGGCAGGCAGCCCGAGAGGCCCCAGTCCCGGGTCGGAGAGCCCGGAGTCGGTTCTGCCGGAGCCCCCGGCCGAATCCTGCCACGCGGTGGAGGCCATCTTGGGGGCCCCCGCTCAGCCCTGGGTCTCCATCACCGACTTCTCACCCGAGTGGTCCTACCCAGAGGTAGGTGCTCTGCTGGGAAAAGCTGGGGATGGGCACAGCCGCTGGGGCCAGAAGGGCCTCAAGGGTCCGGGGGGAGGGGCAGCAGGGCAGGGGGCATTTTGTGAGCAGCCGCTGCCAGTGTCTCCTTTTGGCCACGGGGCCTCGGGAAGGAGCCACTCCCTGTTTGACTCCCGCCTTTTCCTCCGGGGGGCAGGGGGGGGTGAAGGTGCTGATCACCGGCCCCTGGATGGACGATTCGGAGTCCTACAGCTGCCTCTTTGGCCAGATCTCGGTCCCGGCGTCACTCATCCAGTCCGGGGTGCTGCGCTGCTACTGCCCAGGTAGAAGAGACAAGAGTGGGGGGCGCAGGGAGAGAGGGGAGGCCTGGCTCGGCCCCTCCTGGAGCAAAGGGCCTCTGCCCCCCCTCACACTGCTCTCCCCTCCCCCCTGCAGCCCACGAGGCGGGGCTGGTGCCGCTGCAGGTCGCACGGGATGCCTGCCTGGTGTCCCCGTCGGTCATCTTTGAGTACCGAGCCCGGAGCTTCCTGACGCTGCCCGGCCCCCAGCTGGACTGGCTCTCCCTGGACGGTGAGTGGGGGATGCTGCCCTCACCGCTGCGGGCGGGGGATTCCCCAGGCTTTTCCTCTTCCTGCACCGGTGGTCCTCGTCTTACACCCGTTCCTTTTAGTGACCGTTCAAAGTCACAACCAGGGTGGAAAAAGCGGCCTGTCAGCCGGTCCATATTTAGGACGGTCGCGGCGTCCTCAGATTATGCGATCTCCTTTTGCGACCGGTCAAGCAAAGTCAATGGGGGAATCCGGATTCATTTAACCAGGCTACTAACTGAACAACGGCCATGATTCCCTTAAGGACCGTGGCAAGGGAGTTTGTAAAATGGGGCAAAACTCAATTAGCAACTGACTTGCTTAGCAACGCAAATTTGGGGCTTAATTGTGACCCTAAGTGGAGGTCCTCCTGTAGGATCATAGAGTGCCAGGGCTGGAAGGGTCCCTGGAGGCCTGATCCTGGCCCCTTGGGGCTCACAGCTGCCCAGGCGGGCACAGCCCCAGGGCCGGGCGGAGGGCCGGGGCTCCTCCGGGGAGTTGTTTGTGTCGGAAAAACCAGCACCGGGCTGGGCCCCGTCCAGGGTGTCGCCTTACAGGGATGTTCCTGGCATGTGCAACGGAAAGGCTGGGAGGGGCCAAGAGTTTCCATGACTGCCCCGTGCTGGGCCCTCCACTCCCCCGCCCCCTCCTCCCTCGACTCGCCCCTCACCCTGCTCGACAGAGACCCCCGTGCGCTGCGCCCCTCCTCTCGGTGCATCAGAGTAAGAAGCACCCCACTTCAGTCCCGGGGGTGCAACTGGACCACCCCTGACCCCTGCCCAGCCACAGGCCCCTCCGGCGCCCCCTCTGCTGGCCCAACCAGGCGGGCCGGTGCGGCTGTCGTCCTACCCGAGGGTGACAAAGTCTCGGGGTCCATTTGGAGTCTTCCCGATGCTGGGAGGGGGGCTGGTGGGAGCTTCTGCCCCCCCCCCTCTGTTCAAGGGGTTCAGTTGCTCAGTACATCCAAGGAGCAGCTCTGAGCAGGCTGGTCAGGCGACTCTTGGCCCGCCTCGCAGGGAGAGCCACCTTCGGCCAGGCAGTGCCTCCGTTGGCTACCTGTTGCCGACCCGGAGGGGGGGGAAGCAGCCTGACCCCAGCCCACCCGGGAAGACCTCTCACCTTGCCACTATCCGGTCAGAGCCTCTGCGGAATAGCGCCCAGGCCTGTCCTTGCCAATCGGGCGAAGAGGCTTCGAGGGGTCCCTAAAGGGCACCCCCCTCCCCTGCCGGTGCCCGAGGGCGCCTGTCCAGGCACGCACCCCTCCCCCACCCCTGTGACCTGGAAAAAAATTCCCTTTCTGAGACCAGGCCTGTCTTTGGCAGGCATGACCTGCCCGATCGCAGAGGCCGGGCTGGGCAAGGGGCACTCGGCCGCCTCTCCCCCACCCTCCCTGGCAGCTGGGGGAAGGGGGCGATGGGGAGCAGAGAGGGCAGCCCCTTCCCCCCCCAGAGGGGGCCGTGCAGAGGGGGCTTCTCTCAGCCACCAGCTGGAGGCAACTGTCCAGCTGGTGTATGTGTGTATGGGAGATAGAGAGCTCATTAAAGGATTGCCACTCGCTTCTCCCCCCCCCCCCCGCCCAGGCCAGTGGCTATTTTCGGGAGGGCCGGAGCTGGTCAGGCTGCGTCTCTGGCTGGCGGAGAAGGAGCCGGGTCTCCTCCCACCGGCGCGTCAGGGGTGAGGGCAGCGGGCCCCCTGCGCACTGTCATTGCATACCAGGACGGCTAGCGGTGCCCTGATCTCTGCCCCCCCCCCAGCTGGGGGGCGGGCCTAACCTGGGATTTCTCTGCGGTCCCTGCCAGCTGCTTCCGAGTCCCGCCGGAGTTGAGGAGCAGAGCGCCGGGCTTGGGGGTCAAGCAAGGGGGCAGCCCCACGTCCCCTGGCAATGCCCAGAGCAGGTACTGGCCTCGGGCAGGTGGGAGGGGGCCCGAGCCGGGAAGGAGGGGGCTTCGGTGCCTGCTGCTGCTGGGGGGTAGGTCCTGGCCTGTGGGGGCTCAGGCGAGGGGTCCCCAGAAGCGCCCCCTGCCCTGGGGGGCAACACCTCCCTGCCATGGCTTTGCTGGGCTTTGACGTGGGCCAGCAGCAGCAGCCCCCCCACCCGAGGGGCGGCAGTGGGCTCTCCTGGACGCCTCTTCCTGCTCCGGGGGGCAATGAATGAGCCGGTGGGAGCTGCGTGGCCAGGGGCCGGGGGCGACGCTGGGTGGATCCCACCCCCTCTGCCGGCAAGTGTTTTTTTCGGTCACTTTGGGCATGCTCTGAGATTAACCTGGGTTTCATTTGCCCTGGCTAATTGGCTTTCCTGCTTTATGCCTCCCAATTGCTGCGCGTGGAAGGGGCCTGTTGACGTTGCGCTGCTTGTGGAAGGGCCCCCCGGTTTTGCTCTGGGAACAGATTGGGGGGGGGAAGAGAGGTCGCCTTCGCTTCATGGGGTTTTATTCTCCCGGACTTTGTTTGCTTGTTTATCTGAACCCCCAACGGTCCCCCATCACGGAGGAGACATGGGCCCCTTTCCAGTCCCATCCCCCCCTCCCGTGGGCTGTGTCTGCTCATTCCCTGGGGCCGCAGGACAGGGGTGCTCCGGGGCCCTTCTGGATGAACCTAGTTGTCCCCTTTCCAAGACTAGCCGGACCTGCCCAGCCCCCCCTCACCCATTCTTGGGTGCTCAATGGAGAAGCCCCCCCCTCCGTGGGTCATCTGGGAAAATGAGGACAGCCCGGCTTGTTAATCGCCCCAATCAGGATTAGCCTAACAGGATGCCCGGCAGCGTCTTGGCCTCTCCCCCCCATCATCCTCCCCCCCCCCCCCGTTCACCTGGGCAAGGCCGGGCCGGGCTGCCTCTCACCAGCCTCCTCTCCCCCCCCCCCAGATAACCAGTTCAGGATGTCCATCCTTGATCGTCTGGAGCAGATGGAGAAGCGCGTGGCTGAGATGGCCACCTCGGCCCCCCACGGCCCCCCGGCCCAGGCCCAAGGGGAGAAGCCCCCTGGCCAGGTGAGAGGTGGGGCGGGGATGGGGAGGGAGGCTGAGCTGGTGGCAACCGGAGCGTGGCATCTGCTGGTGCCCAGCTGGCATTGTCAGCTTCCTCTTTGACTTGAGGGCTTTGCCAATTGGGTGTTAAGGTGCGCGCGCGTGCGCGCACACACACACACACACACACACACACGGAGACATGCCAGGCATTGTGGGGGGAGCACCTGGATCTGATTGTGGGGGTGCAGGGTCCCATCTTGGGCAGAAGCCTCGAAGTGCCTTCACGCCGTGGGGCCTGTGCCTGCCCCCCTCCGCTGTTCTTCTGGGGTTCCACGTGGCCCCTGCGGGTCCCCCATCCGGGGTCTCCTTTCAGGAGGGTCTTCTCCAAGCAAATAGGACCGCTCCTTCCAGTCTCCTCCTTCGAAATGCTTCCCCCCCCCAGGGCTGCCCCCCGGAGGCTGTGGGGAAGGAGTTCGGGCCCCATCGGGCCCCTGCAAGCCTTTATTCTGGAATAATTGGGGCTGGTTTTGGTCAGGAAAACTGGATGGAAACACGGCCTTGGGGAGCTCAGCCGACACTACCCAAGTGGGGTGGGGTACAGACCAATGACAGGGCCCCAGGGCATTGAAGGGGCTGGATGAAGGCCTCTCTGAGCCAGGGGGTCTGTGAGGGGGTGGCACTGCTGCTTGTGGGGAGGGGTGGCTCCCCCCTTGTGTCCTGCTGGGCTGCAGGTGCAGAAGTGATATGAATTTTCAACCCCCCCCTCCCTCTGGGCAACTCACAAAAGCAGGCAACGTGCGGACGGTGTCTGGGATGGATGTGCCCCCCCCCCCGTCCCCTTTGTCCCAGCCCCACCGGCCATGCAGCAGCAGCCGCGTGTATATTTAGTGCGTGTTCCCCCCCCCAACTTGAATCTCGGGTTTCGCTGAGATTGGCACCTGTGTGGTCAGCCAGCCCGGCTATTCTGGAGCGGCCGGGTGGGAGATAAGGCCAGACAGCCTCTGGGTGGGATTAGGGAGGAGGGAAGGCATCCGCCCCCCCCCCAGCCTCCCAATGGCCCCGAATTCTTTCCGTTGAGATCAGCAGCTTGGCCGGAGGGCAGGGGCGCCACTTGGAGCCTTCCGGGCAAAGGGCACAGCGTGCCTCAGTCCGGCACGCACACACCGCGGCCACTTCCTGCGGTCAGAGGAGGAGAGTGGGCACTACAGCTTCCATCATCCCCAGTCAGAAGGGTCCTGGTGGGGTTGACGGGGCCTTTGAGTCCTGTTCCCACAAGCCAGGCAGACGCGCGTGAGGAAGCCGAGGGAGGGGGGCAGGGGGGGCACGGCCTCGGCCCGGGAGTTGAAGGACACGGTGGCACTGCCCACCGAGACCACTGCAGCTTGACTGGCAGGAACTGGGAGTGACAGAGGAGGGCGTCTTTGAGGAATGTGGCCCCGGGCCCTCAGCAGCCCACTCCTCACATTTCCCCCAACTGGAAGGCTTCAGCTGCCCGCAGGGAATGCCAGCCCACCGCTGAGTCCTTGGCACCCCCCGACCATCTCATCTGCTGGGGGGGCTGCTGCCACATCTGGGGCAGGAGGGTTGATGGTCTTGGGTGGGAAACAGGTCCCCGGAATCTTCGGGGAGCCTGGAAGAGGCTGCAGACGTAGCCTGTTAGCTTGGGCTCTTCACCCCCCCTTCTTCCCCCTCTGCCCCCCCAAACTAGGCTGCCTCCGACTCCTTTGAGGACCGCATTGTGGCCCTCTGTGAGAAAATGATGCTGTCGCAGACGTGGCTTTGCTCGGAGACCCTGGTGCACCACGTCAGCTTCCGAGGAATGACGCTGCTGCACCTGGCAGCCGCCCAGGGCTACACCCGCCTCATTGAGACCCTGATCAAGTGGCGGTGAGTCCCCCTGGCTGGCAGGCCAAGGGCCCTTTGGCGTCTCTTGTCCAGACCCCCAATGGGGGAAAGCTCCACCCGGGTCTGTCCAGAAGGGGCACAAAGCCACCACCACCACCAAGTGGAGGAGTTGGACTAGAAAGGAGGGATGGGGGGTGGGGAAGAGAGGCAAATTCCTAGAGGGGCAGCAGCGCCTTGTCTCATTCTACAAATGTAGTAAATCAGTTATCTGTCTCTTGTGGGTCCATGCAGGGACTCCTTGCCCTACGGCCATTTGCTCAGGGACTATTCCTGGTCTTCCAAGACCCCCCACCCAGCGTGGCAGATCCGAGCCTTTTCCCATGTGATGAGATCCTTGCTTGGATAAACTCGGCCACTTGCCCGAGTCCAGCCTGCCAGATTTTGCCCCTCTGAAATTGGGGGTGGGGTGGGGTGTGCGAAGACCGAAGGGCCCCCGTTGCGGAGGCTGTGCTCGGGACAGGCTTGATGGCGGCCCTTGGCTCCCCCCAGGAATCTCAACGCCCAGAATCTGGACTTGGAGCAAGAGGTGGACCCCCTCAATGTGGATCACTTTTCCTGCACCCCCTTGGTGAGTGCCTCTCGGAAGGGGGGGAGAAGGGGGGCTGACCCTGTCCGGCCCTTCCGGCGAGAGGGATCCGCTCGGGGCCCCTCCTGCTGCTTTGCCTCGGCCAGGGGTCTCATTCCTCACCTCCCCCCCACAGATGTGGGCCTGTGCACTCGGCCACTTGGAGGCCGCCCAGCTGCTCTACCGGTGGAACAGCCAAGCCCTGGCCATCCCTGACTCCTTGGGCCGCCTGCCGCTCACCGTGGCTCGTTCGCGGGGCCACGTCAAGCTGGCCACGTGCCTGGAGGAACTGCAGCGCCAGGAAGAGGCCCTCCCCGAACCTCTGGAGCCCTCGGCGGATGCGCCTGGGTCAGCCGGGAAGGCCTGTGTCGTCGGCCTTCAGCACCCCACGGAGGGGCTGCACGTCCCCTCCCCTGTCTCGGCCAGCCCAGACACAGGTAGGGGGCTTCCATACCACGGGGGGGGGGGTGGCCTGCAGCAAGGCTCAGGCTGAGCGCCAACCGAACCCGGCTCCCTCTCTCCCCAGGGCTCAGCACCGCCAGCGGGGTCTCCTCCCCCTCGGAGCGCTCGGAAGGCTCCCTCTCCATCACCTCCGCCTATTCCAGCGGGTCAGCCCTGCGGGAGTCGCCAGCCTACAGCCCCGAGGCCGAGGGAGCCATGGACGTCTGCCAGGGCCTGCCACCCGGCAGCCTGGAGGGGTGGTACTTGCAGGAAGCCGCCAGCCCGCCCCGCCTCCCGCCCGCCTCCTTCTTCCTCAGCTATGGCGAGGGGGGCCCCATGGGACCCCTGGGAGGCCCTGAGGCTGAGCTGGAGCCGGAGTTGCTGGCCTACGGGGAAAACGCCGAGAACGAGGAGCAGCTGCCGGAGACAGACGTCCTGCAGGTCCGGCGTCCGGGAGGGGGGCAGCGGTTTGAGCGTCTCTTCCCCGGCCGGTGTGTGGGCAACTCCTCTGCCTCCACCCAGAATCCCCCCAGGCCTCTGGCAGTAACCATGTGGGAAAACCCACTGCTGGGCCTCAACCAGAACTCGGGTTGAGCCCCAGCAGTGCAGAGAAGGGTCCCTGGTTCTCCTCCCTCCTTCCGGTTTCTGGCTGAAAGGCTGGGATGCCAGCGAGAAGGGCCCGGGGCTGGGCCTCTCCCTCTCTGCAGCGGCCCTGCCACGCGGGAGCCCCTATTCCCTGCAGTCCAGCAGTGCCCCACCCCAGAGGGCTGGGCTCCTCCATGTGAGCGGCTGTGCTGGTCTTCAGGCGAAAGGCCTGCCCTGTTGGGGACGAAGACACGGAGTGCCCCGGCGCTCATCTCCTGTCTCCCCTGTTGCCCTGCAGGTGGATGTGATCACCCTGGCCAGGCAGATCATCGAGGCCACGCCGGAGCGCATCAAGCAGGAGGACTTTGGCTGCACCGAGGCTCCTCTCCGCGAGCGGTCCAGCAACGTGGGCCTGAGCGAGACCATGTCCTGGCTGGCCAGCTACCTGGAGAACGTGGACCAGCTGCCCAACCTCCCCCAACGACGGTAGCTCTTTCGGACGCTGGAGGGGGGAGCGGCCGGTGAGCTTTGGGGACGAGGGGCTCACGTCCTCCCTTCTGCCTTCCAGAGGCTTGGCCCCCTCGCCCCCCGGGCGCTCCTGCCTCAGCCCCCTGCAGTCCCCCTTGGCGGACCTGTCCTTCGAGCGCCTCCCTCCGCCCCCCACCGCTGCCAGCTGGGCCGAGTTCCTCAACGCCTCGGGGAACGGAAAGATGGAGAGCGACTTCGCCCTGCTGACACTCTCGGACCACGAGCAGCGAGAGCTGTACGAATCCGCCCGGATCATCCAGACGGCCTTTCGCAAGTACAAGGTGTGTCTCCCGACCGAGCCAGGCCGGGGCAGGGCAGCCCCTTCGGGGGGGGGGGGATGTTGGCAGCTCTTCTCAGCCTCCTTGTCCCTCTTCTTTCTTGTTCAACGGACACACACGCGCACACACACACACACACACACACACACACACACACGCTGCTGATGCTGCCGGAAACAAGGGTGGACGGTCGAGGCTGCTTCGGGAGCACCTACAGCCAGTCCTCAGAACTATTAATTTATTGATCATTTGATCATAAAATGGGGCAAAACTCACACAAACTGTCTCACAACAGAAATGTTGGGCTCCATTTCAGTCGCAAATCAAGAACTACCTATATTTGGGGGGTGGGGAGAACGAGGGCTGACCACCTCTCTTGTGCTGCCCCCCCCCCATCCAGGGCCGTCGGCTGAAGGAGCAGCAGGAGCTGGCGGCGGCTGTCATCCAGCGGTGCTACCGGAAGTACAAGCAGGTAGGGTTCTGGGGGGGGGGAAAGGCCCGTCTCTGGCCCCTGCAAGCCTCCTGGGAGGCCCCCTCCCCCACACTCGCAAGCACCCCCCAACTAACCTGCTCTCTCTCTCTGTCTTGCAAGCTCACCTGGATTGCCCTGAAGGTAAAGCAGGGAAGTGGGGTCCCAAGGCCACTCCTGGCGAGGGGAGGGGGAGGCGTGTGGGGCTGGAGGAGCTTCTGTAAGAGTTAGGCGGCCGTGTGGGGGGAGAGGAAAGGGCAGGCTGTGATCGGCTCCTGGGATGGATTGGGAAACGGACGTCTTTGCTGCGGGCGGCTCTAGTGAGCCCTGAAAGGGACATCCCGGCTGCAGCTGAAAGAGGGGGGCAGCCAGAGAAGGCCAGGGGCCCCACTGGGGACCTAAGTGGAAGGAGTTTGTTATTTTGGCTCTGGGGTGCTTTCCTTGAAAGGGGGAGATCCTTTTCCTGTCCTACCCTGACCCCCTCCCTCCCTCCCTCCCTCCCGCGGAAAAAGCCCCAGGGCTCCGAAATCGGGACGCTTCCCACCAGGAAATCAAGGTGTTTCAGTCGGGTGGCTTTGGGGAGCCCAAATCTCCCTCGGGGGCAGTGGGGTGTCCCCCCCTCCAACTTAAGGGACGTGCCTTGGATGGGAAGGCGGTGGGCACTCCGGGATGGGCAGGTGGGCAGTAGCCCCCGCATCCACCGCGCCCTTCCCAGCCCCTCCTCTCCTCCTCCTCCCTGGCACAGTACGCGCTCTACAAGAAGATGACGCAGGCGGCCATCTTGATCCAGAGCAAGTTCCGCAGCTACTACGAGCAGAAGAAGTTCCGGCAGAGTCGACGGGCCGCCGTGCTGATCCAGCAATACTATCGCAGCTACAAGGAGTACGAGAGGCTGAAGCAGGGGCACCGGGCCTCGGCCGCCATGCAGCAGAAGATCAAGTGGGTGCCGGGACGGGGTCGAGGGTGGGGGGGATCTGGTTGCAAGGGGAGGGGGGGCATAGTTCTTCTCTCTGGCTCCCCGCCAGGACAGGCCAAAGTCCCCCTGAGGCTGAGCAAGACAGTCCCAGTCCTGTGAGGTGACAGCCCCCCACCCCCAAGGACTGCCGGTCCTGCCTGCAGCTGCCTCTGATGCTGTCCTTTAGCCACAGCCCCGGAGCAGGCAGCCCGCCCACGTGGGGCGGCTCCTGCCAGCCTGCCTGCTGCCCTCCAACTGCTGTGCGGTATCCAGGTGTTGGCAGCCCTCTGCAAAGCCAGCCCCCCTCCCCACCTCCCACCCCTTCATTTCAAGCTTGGATCCGCTCCTACACGATGCCTCACATGCCTTGGGGGGGGGCTAGGGAAGGAAAGGGCTTCCCTCTCTCTCTGTCGAGGGAAGGGGAGGGCCAGCAGCCCCCCCCCCAGGACTGGGATCCCTTCAAGCTACTCCATAACCAGTTTGGGAGAATTGGCTACAGGTACTCCTTGACTATGGCCAAAATTGAGCCCAGATTTTTTGGTTGCTAAGTGAGACAGTCATGAAGTGAGTTTTGCTCCACTTTACAACCTTTCTTGCTATGGTTACTAAGCGAATCATTGCAATTAGTCACACGGTTGTCAAGCGGTTCTGGCCTCCCCACTGGCTTTGCTTGTCAGAAAGGTCGCAATCCCGGGACACTGCGGCCATCGTAAGTATGAGTCTGCCAAGCGTCTGAATTTTGATCTTGCGGCCACAGGGATGCTGAACTGGCCGCAAGTGTGAAAAACAGCCATAAGTCGCTTTTTTCAGTGGTGTCGTAAATTTGAACCATCACTAAATGAACTGTTACTGAGGACTAGCTGCACGTTTTTCCCATTCAGGGAGACAAAATAGTGCTTTGGAACGGATGATGTTCCAGTTGCTTCTCTATCGCTCTATTCCACATTTATATATTCATTTCATACCTCTTAACCGCCCATTTTCCCCCGAGGGGGGCTCTGGGTGGTGACCCCCGTGTGGGGGCTCCTGAGAAGCAGGTGAGGAGCAAGGGGGCTTCAACTCCGGCACTTCCCACATACTGGCACCCCTTGGTAGGTCCGGAATGCGTGTTCCCAGGGCTCTTTCGGAGGTCTGGCGAAGTGGCCCTGTTGGGGGGGGGTTGCCTACTGGACGCTACGGAGGGCGGGGGGGGGAGCTGCTCCTTCCATTCTCTGCCCTGAGAGGCCGAGTCCACTCCTGCCACTTGACCCTCCCCTCCTCCTTTCCCCGATAGGGGGACCTTCCTGACCAAGAAGCAGGATCAGGCCGCCCGGAAGATTATGCGGTTCTTGCGACGTTGTCGGCACAGGTACAGCAGGAAGGGGGGGGAGAGACTGGGGGAGGCAGAGTTTGAGAACAGAGTTCCATCGACACTTAAGAACTATAAGATGCGTTTGGGGGGGGGGTTAGAAAATCCAAAGGAGACCCCCACGAGAAGCCCGGCATTGTCCTGGTGCCCATTGGATGGGATATTGGGGGGGGGGGCTTTCCTCAGCCTCTTTCACCCTCTGCAGACCCCACGGAGAATGCGATAGCTCTGCCACGGAGGAGGCCAGCCGGCTGCCGGTGGGGTGGGGGTTTTGCTAGAGGAACGGCGGGGTGTCCCCCTCCCTTCAGAGGTCACCTTCTCTCCTTCCCCCCCCCCCCCGAACAGGATGAAGGAACTGAAGCAAAGGCAGGAGATGGAGGCCCCCCCACAGAAGCGCGGTGTGGCCACTTAGTCCGAAGCGGACGCCCGCAGGAAGAGGCGGAGGAGGGTTCTGACCCCAGCCAAGCCCCCGAAAGACTGGAGGGATGGCCACGGGTCTCCCCGCCGGAAGGAAGGACTGTGCAATAGGGCCACCCGGCCCACAGCTTGGCCCCTTCCAGTCTGGGGTGGGTGTGGAAGCTCTCCTGGCCGGGGCGCAGTCCCGTGGCCCTCGGCCCCATCCCTGGAGCCCCCGGCGAGCTTGCCTTCCCTCTGTGCCAAGGCGTCTCTGCCACGCATGGGCCGTCCGGGGGCCGGAGGGGGACACCACACCCCAGGCTGAGGAAGGAGGGAGGGAGGGAGGGATTCTCGGGGGCCCCACTGCCTTCACGCCAGCTTTCTGGAGGACCTGCAGCAGCCCCCCCTCCTCGCAAGGGGTTGGGTGGAAGACAGCCTCCTGGCATGCACTTTTCAGCCCCCGTCCCCCATCTGTTTCCTTCTGCCCCACTCCTCCCCATAAGCTGGGCAGGCTGCCAGGCTGGGATTTGAGAGGGTCCTTCCCTCCCCAGCAGCCCCCCCTGCCCCCTCCCCTGTGCCTCTGTACATACTTGTATGATTTGGGCAAAAGAAGGCCAGGCTGGCATCTATTTAACCCAAAGACATCTCACCCCACGGGGGGGGGGGCGGCAGGGGGCTGGGGAGAAAGATGCTTGGGTTGTAACTCTGGAGCTCCCCCCTCCCTGGAACCTCCTTCTTTGGTATTTCAGCCCAGCCTCTGGATGTCGCTCCCCCCCCCATCTGCCACACGGCTACCGTTTTTGCATGACTTTGGTTGGTTTGTACAAATTTACATTAAACTGCAAGAAAATCACCAGTGTAAACTCCTCGCAAGAGTATTGAGTGGGCATCAGCCTCGCAGGAGGGTGCTTTGGGCTGGGGGAGCAGGCTGCAGACCCCCCCCTGCCGCCGCCATGTCCTGGGAGTGGGAAGGGTCTCCACAGAAGCAAGGCGGACTTGGCCCACTCCGTGCTCTGCATCGGTGGGAAGGGAGGGAGAGACGCTCTGGGGAAGTGGGGGGCAGAAACTGGGGAGGGGAAACTCTTGCCTCAATTCTGCCCCACCCTCCTTGACCAGAAGGCGCCTCCCGATGGGGCCACTGTGCACATCAGGGGCCCCAGGCTGAGGAAGGGCCCTGGGGTCCCCAAGCTTCCTGATGCCCTGTGTAGCGGGGGAGGGCTCCTGCTAAGGGGTGGCTCCTTCTGTTCTCAGCAGGCCTGCCCTGCTGTTTGGCTCTGGCCACTGCCCAGTGTCCAGGCAAGGAGGTTTCTGTCCCCCTCGCTCCTTTTTCAATGGGGCCCGTGGCTGGACAGAACTCTTGGGACCCCCAAGGCACGCGGACTCTGCCCCAAGGACCAGCTCAAGCTGTACCAGGAGCCCCCACCCCAGGCAGAGGGCAGGAGGGAGGGGCCTTCAGCTGCTGCCTGAGGGGTGGGGGAGCGCTGTGGGGCATGGGGGATCTTTTGGGGAGGGGGCTGGGCCTGGGGAGGTGTGTCCTGCCTGGCTCAATGTACCTGCGGACTAGCCACTGGCAGGGGGCTGGTGGGTGGGTGGGTGGGATGGAAATGCCCCCGAGGGGGCGTTTGGGCTTCCCAGGCTGGGCACCGTGTCCACCTGGGCCCCGGGTCGTCGTGCCAGCTTTCCCTGGGACGGCCAGATCAGAGCCTCCCCAGGAATGCCCCCCCACCAGCCCTGCGGGGAGCCTGGGCGGGGGAGGGTTGACGTGTTGTGTGAATGCACGCAGCTGGCCAGCTCCAAGGGGCTGCACGTAGAGCAAGCAGCTTGCACGGGTTTAAATTTAAATCGGTTTTTTAAAAAAAGGGAATGGCCGGGCTTTCATAAGAGTCCTCCGGGGGAAAGGCTGGAGTAAAAGAGCGGTTGGAAAAGAAAGCCTCTCTCGCCTCCGACTCGCTGGCCGATAACGCCATGACGCCGTGCCGGAACCCCTCCCCGAGACAAGGGCTGATGACACCAGACTCCTCTTGGGGAAAAAGGGCGGAGCCTATCGGGGAAGCCTGGAGGGGGCGTGTCTGGTTGCTGCGTTGCATTGATTTAGGGGCGTGGCCGCGGAAGGGACCCGCCCACGATTAACGGAGCACGTTTCTCCCCCCCATTTTTTGGGCAGCAGCCCCCCCCCCAAATCCCGCTGCCCGGCGAGTTAGCGTGACTGAGATCGAATACGGAGCAGGGCGCTGGGAGGGACCTTGGAGGTCCTCCAGTCCACCCCCGGGGCCCCGGGAGCTTCTGCAGCCTCGGCGGCCTTCGTGGGAAGCCTCGGGGGCTGCTTTCTGGACGGCGGCTGCGCGAGGGGGGGCGCCGGGCTCCTTCCCCCCCCCAGCCCCCTTCGGGCTGCCTTCGCGGTTCAGCCGGGCCCCTGAGCCCGGAGGAGTAAATGAATCGAGGCAGCGCACCAGCATCGCCGCCGCCCAGGGAAGCCGGTTGGAGGGGCGCCCGCTGCGCGCGACGGGAGCGCGAAACTCCCCGAAGGCGCCGAGCCGCGCGCCCCGGGCACGTCGCGGGGACGGGACCGAGCAGAGGGAGGGAGGGAGGCGGGGGGCGCAAAAGCAGGGGCAGCCAAGGGGGCCAATCTGCGGGGAGGGCTGGGGCGCGCCGGGCCCTTTCCGAAGCTGCGAGGGGCCCCGCCGGTCCCAGCCCGCCGCCGTCGGACGGAGTGGAAGCCCTCGGGCTCTCTGGGCCCCGGACGTCGCCCGTCGGACTTCGCGGGGCGTCCGGGAGCAGCGGGGCCGAGTCCGTCTCCCCTTCAGGCCGCCTCTGGAAGCGGCGCGGTTCCCCGACCGGCCGGGGGTCCTGGGCGAGGGGGGCGTCCGACGTGGGGCTTCCGCGGGCTTGGATGTGGCTGCGCGGGGCCCGCGGCGGCGAACTCCCGGGGTTCCGCTCCGACTCTCGCGACGGCGGGGCGCGCTTGCTCCGTCCTGCGCGGAGCGCGCAAGAGAAAGCCGGCGGGCGTGAGTTTCAGGCCGTTCCGCGCCCCGAGACGGAGGAGGAGCCCCCGCCCGCGGCGTTTGGGAGGCTGGGCTGGGGTGGGGCCCAGAGTGTAAGCGTTGTCGAGGATATTGGACGGGGCCCGTGGAACTCCCTGCCACGAGGCTGCAGCCTCCAAGAGGCATTGTCCCCTTTCATGGATGCTCCCCCCCCCGTCATGCCCTCTGGAGGTGCTTCTGGGGGAGACATGAAAGGGGGGGCTACCCCTGGGCTCTGCTGCTGTGGGGGGGCGGGGAGAACCAGCCTCCTGGTGTTCTTTCTGTTCATGTTCATGCTGGAGAGTTCGCCTTCCTAGACGGCGGGGGGGGGGTGATCCCTAAAGAGATGGGGTGGGGAGGGCGCTTCGGAGGCCTGCCAGGTACCCGCGGGGCTCAAGGGGAGCTTCTGCCGATGAAAAGGTGGACTAAGTTAAAGGACCGGCGGGGCCGTCGATTCTCCTGCTGGTTTTCTAAAGGAACCCTGGATGGGGGGGGGGTGTCCAACCTTGGCCCCCTTAAGGCTCGTGGACTTCCACTCTGGCCGGGGAATTCTGGGAGTTGAAGTCCACAAGTCTCAACGTGGCCAAGGTTGGACGCTCCTGGTCTAAAAAAAGGAAAATTAAAAACAATCGGATTAAAAAAAAAACATCAATAAAACCACCTCTTCTACAGTTCATGAGAATAAATGTACTTGTCAACTAGTGTTTCTCCTTTGACCAGATAGAAATGAGATTTTGCTTTCCTGGGGGGGGGCGCAGCTGCCGTGTGTGTGTGTGTGTGTGTGTGTGTGTGTGTGTGTGTGTGTGCGTGTGTGTGTGTGTGTGTGTGAGAGAGAGAGAGAGAGGGAGAGACAGGGGTGCCCACAACAGAAATCTCTTCACAGGAAACTCTGTGAATCCCTGCTGCTTTTCTTCAGGCTTGCAAAAAATGTTTGAGGAATTTGGGGGCTTAGGAGAGGAGGAGGAGGAGGTGGTGGTAACAGGAGCTGCCTCAACCCAGACGGAGGGCCCACACCTGGCAGGAAGGGATCCGGAGGGGCAGAGTCCGGGAGCCGGTGAGTGGGGCTGGGGGCGAAGTGGGGCTTGTGGCTGGGAGCCCTGTGGGGCAGGGATGCTCCCGGGTTCTTGGCCAGGGTGGGGCTCATATGAGCACCGATCAAGGGGAGGATAAGGGGGGACGTGTGCCGCTCGTAGCCGGAGAGAGGGTCCTGCCCGTGCAGAGTGCCAGGGCCCAGGAGCTGCCTTCCTCTGCCAGGCCCCCCTTCTGCATCGCCCAGCTTCCACCCAGCCCTGCTGCAGTGGGCAGCCCATGGTCCTTTGCAGGATTCGGGCTGAGCAGGTGGGCTGGAGGGGCCTGTGGGGCGGGGGTGGATCCAAGAGACCAGTTTTGGGGCCACCGTATGTGGGTCCCCCCTGGACACCTCACAAAGGGCCTCTTCAGCTTCACTGTTGCCCCCAGCAGAGCCATCCCGGCGTAGAAAACTGCCTCCCAGCTTGGTCCACATAACAGGGTTGTTGTTTCAGGATGGCAGCTGGGCTGGGAGGGACCGAGCGCGGGGGGGGGGAGGCTGCACCGTTTTATAAGTGGGGAGGCCTGAGGGGGGGCAGAGCCTGTGTTCCACACGTGTGCCCACCTTCATCGGGGAGAGAGCGAGCGAGTGTGCCAGCTGGATCTGCCCTCTGGTGCTGCTTCCTTTGAAGGGCTGCGGGGCTGACCTCCCGGCCCGGACCCTCCAGGCCAGCCTCTCACTGCAGTCCCAGACACGGGGGAGGGGGGCAGCCAGCGCCTTCTCCCCCCCCACAAGCCTGACCTGGGTCTGGTTGGTGCTTCAGGCTGCCTGCGCTCCTGCCGGACCCTCTGCCACCCGTCCTTCCAGCCCTTCTACTCCGCTGTCTCCGGCTGCAGCTGTGGTTCCCGGCCCCCCCCTCCAGAGGGCCCAGCATGGGAAGCAGGTGAGGGGCAGGGCAGGAGGGGGGGCAAGTCTGGGGAGGGATAGTCAGATGCGGTCCTCCTGCCCCAAGGGGGAGGGGATTTGGCCTGGTGGGGGCAGGGGATGTGACAGCCCCTGGGGGAGGAGCAGTTGACCCATTCCGAGTGGCAGGGGGGACCTCAGCTTGTTGGGCCCACACTAGAGAGAGGGAGGGGCTTTCCTCTGTGGGGAAGGGGCCCTTTGCCATTTGAAGGTGGGTGGATGTGGACATGTGTGCCCAAGAGGCTCAGTCCAAAACCCCCTCTGAGATGACTTCCCCCCCTTTTCCCTGCAAGGACCCCCGCCCTTCCTGGACTGCAGCAGCTTCTTCTACACGGACCCCACCCAGCCCCCCGGATCCCGGATCTACAACTGGCTGTCCTGCTGCTCTCTGGAAGTAGGTCCCACTGGGGGGGGGGATTAGAGGGGGCAGCAAACAGCCAAGGAAGGCACCCGTTGCTGGGGAGGGGGCCCTGAGGCTTCAGGGCAGGAGGGAGAGCAGCGTCTGCCTCTCTGGGTCTGCCCAGCATGCAGGAAGGGCTGTGGGGCAGCTCTCCCCTGACTTTCTCCCTCCAGGTCCTCCCCCGGCTGCGTCTGGATACCCCGGCCCCCATCATGGCCCCCCGGGAGAGCCCCCCTGCTCCCGGCCTCTGCACCAGGAGACGGTGGTTCTCCAGCGAGGAGCTGCAGGCCGTCGCGGCCCTTCTGGAGCTGCCGGCGGCACCAGTGGGACCCCAGGCCGACAGCGGGGCCGAGCGGAGGGACCCTTGAGAGCTTCTGGGACACAAAAACACACACGCACAAACGTAGTTGTCTGTGCTGTGTCCTTTGTCTGTCTACATCAGAGGCGTCCCATCTTGGCAGCTTGAAGCCTTGCGGACTTCCAGTTCCCAGCATAGGGGATTCTGGGAGTTGAAGTCCACGAGGCTTAAAGTGGCCAAGATTAAGACCTGGTTTGGGGGGAACCTGAGCAGTTTCCGAGGCTTCACGGTCGGAATAAAGTTAAGTTTCGTCCTTTCAGGTCTTTGCTTTCCTCCCAGGGGAGGTTCAGGCCCGACTCCCTTGAGCCAGACTTTGGCCCTGCCAAGCCCTGGGCCTCCTTCCCCGCTCTGGGGGGGCCCTGGGGAGGTCTCTGGGGAGGACAGATCCCATTTGTAGCCGTTCTGGTCCCAGCCAGTTTGAAACTCTGGACAGCTCCCCCCCCCAGTATAAGAGAGCTTTGTGGGGGCCCTACCCCCACTTCCTCCCCAGCCTTATCCCCCGTGGCCCCACTGCAAATGTATCCCTTGGGGAGCCCCACAAGGGCCTAGGAATTGGAGCATGGAGGGCCAGCCGTGGGTCCCTGTCTCCCTGAACAGCCCCCCCCAAAGTCACCCCAGGAGCTGCTCCCCCTTTAAAGTCAGAGGTTCCCCATATGGGGGGGAAAGAGCCCCCCCGGCTGGGGCTCCTTGCAATCCTAGGTCACACTGCCTTTGAGAAAGAGCTTTTGCCTTGTGCCCCACGGATTCGGGACCCTCCTCGGTTGACGCCCTTTCCTTGCTTGCTGGAGACCCCGGCCCGGCCCCCTTGATGCAGGGGCTGCTCTCCCCCCAACAGGACTGCTACTGGGAGGAGGTGGGCAGGACCACAGAATGCAACCCCCCCCCCTTTGGACGGGTAGGGGAGACAAGCACCATGGGGCAAGCGGTGTCCGGGGGCCTCTTTATTCCGCCCTGCCCGGAGATCACGTCCCTCTGCGGCTCCTCCGCCGCCGCTCCAACCGGTGCAGGTGGCGCCACGTCTTCTCCATCACGGCATCCAACAGGTGCAGCGCCTCCATCAAGGCCGCTTCTTCCGGGTCTACTCGCCGGGGTGTCGCCTCCGCTTTTCCTGGATTCTGAGGAAGAACAGGCTGCGGCTGAGGAAGGGGCTGCCGTGCCCAGGGGGCTCTGGTCAATGGTGGCCCTGCCCTTTGGACCCCCTCCCCCCGGATCCCTGCGGCCCTCGCGTTGCCCACCTCCGAGTACGTCTTGAAACCTTCATTTTTTCCAGGCGTCAGTGGGGATTTCGGGGGGGGGCAGGAGGTGCCAGGTGGAAATCTAATCGTGGTTTGCTGTGCCTGTTTTAACTTTGCAAAAGCAGCCAGAGTTGGGCAGCCCAGAAGTTCGACCCAGAGGGAGAAAAACGCAAAGGGAGTTGGGAGAAATTCATGAGGCGAGGAGTTCCACCAGCCAATTTTCCTTTGAATGTAACAGGGTCAAGACTGCTGACAGAACTGAAGATCAGGTTGGAGGTTTGGGGAGATTCGTGGGGGTCTTGAACTGAATCCCACCAAAGCACGGGTGCTCAGTTCCCCCCGCTGGGGGTCTCAGTGCAGGGAAGGCCTGGCCAATGCAAGGGTGCGGCTGGGGACCCTGCCCTGCTCTGACCTGTCTAGATGTCCAGAGCTTCTGGGCCGGGGGATGGATGCTGTGGGGGGTGTGCTCTTCTCCGCCCCCCCCCAGGGCCTCACCTGCTGGGCGCGGAGGAACTGCTGGAGGAAGAGGCCGATGGAGGAGACGGCAATCACGGCCAGCATGGTGACGATCACCCAGTAGGCATACCACAGCAGCGCCTGGCTACTGAGCGGGAAGCCCCCGGGCATCTGGGAAGGGTCGAGGGTCTTCCCAAAGGGGGCCTCCAGACCCCCGTAGTACCAGCCGGGCCGCTGCGACCGGCCCAGGCGCCACAGAGTGCAGTTCATCAGGAGCCCCACAGCCCAGCCAGCGGCTCGCCCCATGGGTGTCCACACACAGAGCCTCGGGCGGCTGTTCTGAGCCGCCTTCCGGAACCCCCGCCCTGGTCTCCAGGCAACAAGGGGGGCCCTCTGTCTCCTGGCACCCCTGACCCCTGTCAGTCACTCTGGAGGGTTGCTGGGGAGGTGGGGCTGAGCCCAGAGCAGGGGGAGGCAACCTTGGCGCTTTTACCCAATTGTGGGTTTTTTTTGGGGGGGGGGAAGACATCAAGACTCCAGCCTTTTTCTTCCATATTTAAAAATAGCTTTTATTTTAAAGGCCAGAAAGCAGGCACTGAACGGAGCACGGTCTCTTTGGCCAGCCCAGACAATGGGGGGGGGGTCTGCGCCCACCAAAGACACCAGCAGGGCTGGGCCTGTGCAAAATGCAGCAGCAGCAGCAGCAAAAGGGGGGGTGTCGACCAGCCTTGCATGTGAATGCAGGTTATATTTCATGGGGGGGGGGGTCTGCAGGGCGTACCGAGGTTACAAGTCTGAGGGGCCCAGTGGGGAGGGGGTCCCAAGGCACAAAACCACGGCTGCTTTCACACACGGAGGGTCCCGGAAGCAAATCTGTTCCTTTCCGTCCTTCCCAGCAACCGTTTGGGGGTCGTCCCCCTTCTCTTTGCACACCCTGAAACCCAGGGCCAGACCCCCCCTCCCCCAGTTCCTCTTTGGTGTGTGTGAGGCACAGGAACAGCATCGCAGGAGTCCTCTGGGGGAGGGGCAGCAGCACTCCCCCAAAAAAACTTGGCATCGCCACACGGCCTGGGGGGGGGCAGGAAAGGAGAACTTGTCCAGCCCCAGAGGGAGACCGGGGGGGGGGGAGGCGATCCGATGCCCAGCTGCCTTGGCCAGGAGGTCAGATTTCTGGAAGGAAAGCAAGAGAGTTTGCAATGTCACAAAACATACATAAAGCCATTAAAAACTTAAAAAAGCATCAAAACGTTTTGGCAATGCAGGTTGTCCTCAGGTTATGACCATGATTGAGGTTGCTAAGTGAGTCGTTTCTTACAAGTGACTTTTGCCCCAGTTTACAACCTTTCTTGTCACGGTTGTTAAGTGAATCACTGTGGTTGTTAAGTGAGTCACACAGTTCTTAAGTGAATCCAGCTTCCTCACGGACTTTTCCGGTCAGCAGGTCGCAAACGGGGATCACGTGACAAAACACACACCCCCCGGACACAGTGCAACCGTCATGTGAATTGGCAAGTATCTGAATTTTGATCACATGACCATGGGGGACGCCAGTCGTCTGAAAAATGGTCATAAGTCCCTTTTTCCCGTGCTGTTGTAAGTTAGAGCAGTCACTAAATAATAATAATAAAGTTGGAAGGGACCTTGGAGGTCATCTAGTCCAACCCCCTGCTCAGGGAGTAAAGCCTATACCATTTCGGACAAATGGCTGTCCAGTCTCTTCTTAAAAACTTCCAGTGTTGGAACATTCACCGCTTCTGGAGGCAGGCGGTTCCACTGGTTCATTGTTCTAAATGTCAGGAAGTTTCTCCTTAGTTCCAGGTTGCTGAACTGTTGTAAGTTGAGGACTATCTGTATTTTATTTTATTTTTATTGTGTTTTATTATTTTTGTTAATTCCATTAAACGTATGGGTCACCCCTCTGACTATGAAGTGAATCTGGGCAGCTTACGAGGTCACAAATCCTGACATAAAATAATTAAAAACATCCAAACATTGGGCAATAATTGAACAAATGAAGTTAAAACGTTAAAAAAAAAACATCTCTGGTTTGGCTCAAAAGGAGAGCCTCCCACTCGAAAAGGTTGGGACTCCCAGCACAGACCCTCCCTGGAGACCCTCCCCTAATTGTGCAAGTGCATAGGTCAGAGGTCTTCAACCTGTGCTGGCTCAGGAATTCTGGGAATTGAAGTCCACGAGTCATAAAAGAGCCAAGGTTGCCTACCCCTGGCATAGATGGACAAGACTGGACCGCCCAAGACCCCACGGACAGCCCGGCTGAAGTGGCTGACCCCCCCCAGCAGAGGCACCCCAGCCAGGCACACCCGACTCCAGACAACAAAGTTTGCCAGGGGGGAAAACCCACTCACCGGCCCTTCTGCCCCATTCATTTGAATGTGGGGCAAGGTGGACTGCAGCAGACCCCCCCCAATAGCTGGTGGAGACAACAGTGGTCCCACAAGGAAAGGAAACTGCCTGAGCCTCACATTCCCTACAAAACGGCAACATCCGAAAGCCCAGCAACAACTGGGAAACGGCCGTTCCTCGGGCAAGGCACTCTGCACGCCCTCAGGGGGCATTTTACACAGGCCCAACACAAAGCAGCCAGAAGGGTGGTTTCAGAAATGCTGTCCCCCCCCCAAAAAAAGTGAATGGCTGGGAGTTTCTGAAGACCCCACAACTTTCGCTCTGGCCAAGCAAGGGGGGAGGCGGCATGAAATGGCCCCTGGCGCAGGAGGAGGGCCCCACAGGGGGGCATGGGCAATTCCACAGGGCTGAGGGCACAGAGCTGTCTCTGTTTGGCACACCTGCCCCACCAGCCCGGCGCCTGGAAGGAGCCTCCACTTTGCCTTCCACCCACCCACCCCGTTTCCTGTTTCCTAACAGCTGGACGGGCCAGCTCTGTGGCACCCTAAAAGAGCTGCTCTCAAACACACCCACCCTGCCTGGAGGGCACATTCAGTGGTAGGCAGCACCTGCCCCCCCCCCCCCCAGACCGCCTTCGCACGCCAGGGGAGGGGGCTATGCGAAGGGGCCTGGCTCCTGCCAGGAGGCTCCCTCGGGGCACCCAAGTGGGGGCTGGCAATCCTGGTCCACGGCAGCCCAGCCCAGCAGTCTAGCCTGGGGTAGGAGGGACTTCGCCCCAATAACTTGTGCAGGATGGGGGGGAGTCCTAAAGTGCCCAAAGCCTGGAGCTCTTCACCATCTCAGCCGGAGACTTGAATCCAGGCCCCGCTAGGAGATGCTGCTGGTCAGCAGGTTTAGCCCAAGCCAGCCCCACCCGCTCCCTTACCTGCAGGCCCCGGGGGGCTGGCCTCCGGCCCCAGCAGCTCTCCCAGGCGCTGGAAGTCGATGCTGGCGTAGCTGTGGGGTGGTCCCGCCCGGCAGGGGCCGGCAGACAGGCGGAGAGGGAGGGCCCGGCCCGGGGCAGCCTCTCTGGCCAGGTCGAGGTCGATGTAGTTCAGCCCTCTCTCCCTTGGGGCCGGGTCCGGGAGGGTGGCCTTCCCCTCGGTCTCACAGCCACACCTTGCAAACGGGGGCCCAGGTGCCAGCCCAGTGGGGCCTTCAGGCGCTGGCACCTGGCTGGCATCAGCTGGCGTCCTTCGGAGAGCCAGGTTGACGTAGCAAGACGTGGCTTCCTTGGGACCTCCAGGCGGGTCAGCAAACAGGCCGAGGGGGCAGCGGGCAGCCTCCTCCAGGCTCTCTGAGCTGGTGGACGAGGAGCAGGACAGGCGGCGGGGGGCGGCGGGGAGCCAGGGGGCTCTGGGGCCACACCTGGAGGAGGGTGGCGGGGAGAAGGCTGGAGGGGGGCCCAGGAGGGGCAACAGCAGGCTGTACTCCACGGAGGCATCTGGGGCCCCCTGCCTGGCTGGGGACATGTTCACGTACTCACCGGGCGGAGACTTGCTCTCCCCGCCCCCCGTGGCCCACTGGCCCATCCCGTCCGGTGAGCAGCTCCTGCTGGGGGACATCAGCATGTACCCCCCACCCTCCCGCGGGGGAGAGACGCTGCTGGGCGTCATTGGGACATAGTCCTGCTCCTCGGGGCCCAGGGCCGCCCCCGGCAGCATGGCCATGTACCCGGGATCGCTGCCCTGCAGGTTCAGTCCTTCGGGGTAGCTGGTTGAAACCGTGGCAGGCTTGGCGCTCTGCCTGCGACGCAGGAGGCCGGGGGTGCCCTTGCACAGCGCCAACGGGGGCAGGGATGCCCGCTTGTGGGCCAGGCCTCCCAAGGGCCACTTCGGCAGGCCGGCCTCCTCGGGGGAGGCCCGCTGGCCCATGCTGATGTAGTCCAGCTCCCCGTCCACCACCATGGCGCTCAGGGGGTCGGGTGTGCTGGGAGGCCGCAGTTCCCCTGGGCTGGAGCCACCTTCGTCGGACGACATGGCGCTGTAGTCGCTCAAGGAGTCCGGCTTCCTGCCTGCCGGCTTCTTTTGCCCCGAGGCCCCTGTGGAGCCGCGACCGAAAGAAGGCGTGCCCCCCTTGGGGCGGCTCCTCCACGGGAAGGCCCGTTGGCCGGGCGGCGGGTTGCTGTGGGACTGCCGGCGTGCCGGCACCAAGATGGGCGTGGAAGGCAGCGCCTGGGCCCTTCCGTGGCCCCGGAAGTCCTCGCTGAGGGCCTTCATTGCCTCCAGGATGGTCTCGTGCATGTTCTGGGCGACCACCAGGTCCTCCACCTGCATCCAGAGCTCCCCAGGCCCCGTGGCCGACGAGCGGCCCACCTCCATGAAGAAGTAGTTCTCCGAGTGGCCGCAGCGCCGGATGTTGAGCAGCTGCAGGACCAGGGCGGCCTCGTCCGAGTTCAGCCTCACCAGGCTGACCGTCTTCTCGGCCAGGCACAGTAGGTGGAGGCCGGCCAGGTTCCGGGAGTGGCCCAGGCCCCTTGGCCGCAGGCTCACCTGCCAGACTTCTTTGAAGGCCGGGATGGGCTGGGCCGCCTCGCCGTCCCCCTCCGGGGGGGCTGTACCTACGAGGAGCAAAGGCCAGCGTGAGAGGTGGGAACGAGGGGCTGGGAAGGCAGGGACCCTCTTAGACACCCCACGTCTTCTCCGTGCCCGGCCAACCTATCCAGAGGAGGCACCAGACGGGATCCAGCGTGGCTGTACAAGAAAGCACGGCGAGCCTCTGGCCCCCCCAAGGGAGTCCAAGGAGACGCCCCCTCCCCGTCCAAGGAGGGGGGTGGAAGCCCAGCACCCCCAGCAAGCTGTCCCTCCAATCACGTGGAGGACGGGGGAGGGGCCGTTGCCAGGGAGACCTCAGGGCTGGATCACTGGCTGGCAAGTGACCGAGCTGGTTCCGGGAAGCAGCGAGGGGGGGGAGAGGCGGAAGAGGGCCTTGGGGGGGGGGGGCGTGGGGCACAAGGGGCAGTCAGAGCATCTTCACCACACGGCAGCCTGTGGGAGCTGCTCCGAGGCTCAGCCCTGCCCCTCCCTTCCCTCCCTTCCCCTCCCCTGCTCTCCCGGAATAGAACACTTTGTACCCAGCCCTACCTGTGCCTGGGTGTACACATGAGCAACACACACACACACACACACACACATACAGAGGCAGCACACCAGCAAGAGGGGGTGGATGGTTGCTGGCCAGGGAACCGAGACAGAAGCTGTGGCCGGCCAAGGGAGGCCTCTGACTTGGTGGCCAGCAGCAGTCCAGCCTCCCTGGAGCAAAGTCCAGGTTTCCCCCTTCCTCCTCCCTGCAGCTGGCCTGCCTCTGGTGGCCGAGAGCCTGAGGCCCTTCCCAGCCTGGCCACAGAAGCGGTGCCAGTTCCTCCTTGGAGCACTCCGGGCACAGCAGCGACTCGGGCACGGGGGCGACTCGCCCAAAGGTCTGGAAGGGCCCTTTGCTCTCGGCTGCCGTGCACTGAGTTTCTCCCGGGGCGGCTGCAGCGAGACTGGCCAGCCCAACACCCGAGGCAGGCAGAGAGAAAGCAGAGTGGCCCTTCACGGTGGATGGGGCGGCCTGCTCCAGCATTTAGCAGGCCTTCCGCGAATCTGGTTCCAGTGTGCCAAACCCCTCCTCCACGGATGGGCACGGGAGGGCTCTGGGGTCTCCATGCGGTCAGGGACCCGCCCCCCAGAGCCTCTGCTCCCACAGCTGACAATCGGATGCCCCAGCAGACTCGGGGGAGGCACAGACCGAGAATGGTCCAGATGTTGAGAGGCTCCCCTGAATTATAAGCACCGCTGGAAGGCCCAGGAGGGGGGAAGGGATGGGCACTCCAGAGGCACCTGGAAGGGATTTGCCCCAGTCAAAGGCCTGGGAGTACGGGGGGGTTCCCAGCACTGAGGCCCCCTGGGGGTCTGGCCAGGTCCTCCTGGTAAGGAAGTGCTGGGGGGGACGCTCGGTAAAGCCAGGAGCCCGGTGGGGAACGATGGGATCTGGGTTCCCATATCTGCAACACAACAGCTTTGTTTCTATGCCTTCCCACGTGCACTCCAGCCACGCAGCAGCCACCAATCTCTGGGGGGGCTCCTGGCATCAGCCCCCAGGGGCCAGGAAGGGGGCAAAAGCGCAGCCAGAAAAACATCTGGAGCATCCTGGCCATGAACAGACAGCCCCTCCCAGGAGGGGAGGATCCCCGTGGATCCCTCGCTTCTTCAGAAGGGATCCCCAGAGGGAGCCAGGCTGGCACTGAGGCTCAACCACAATGCCCCTCATTCTGGTTAGCACGGCTCAAGCCCTGCCAGAGGGCTGATGGGTGCTGCTTCCCTCAGTCTCCTCCAGGCGGCAACTTTGGCTCTTCCAGAGACTGCTGGGCCCCCCCCCCCGGGCAACCCTCCACTGCCTCCCCCCCCGACTCACCCTTGCCGTGCAGCTCCACCAGGGCCAGGTACCAGGCCTGCTGCTGCTCGGCGCTCTCTGCAGCCACGCCAAAGGTGCCCTCACGGCCACAGAGGACGATCAGGTGCTGGTGCCGGGCATCTGCGCGCTTGTTGATGGTCAGCATGCCGCCGAGGAAGAGGGTCTTCTTGGGGCGCGAGCAGAGGCCCCCGGCCCGGAATTTCTTCTCGTTCTCATAATACTCCAGTCGGGGGGGCCCTCGCTCCCCCCCACAGCGCAGCACAAAGTAGCGGCGATGGCGGGATTTCTGCTTGCGCAGGTACCCGCACAGGCGGATGTCGGCAAAGAGGAGGGGGTCGCTTCCAGGGTCCATCATGGGGGAGCCGAGGGGAGGGGGAAGCCAGGGGGGCCGTCAGCCCAGGAGGGCAGCCACTCTGCATCCCTCCTGGGCAGCCTAGAGCAGAAGGGCCCTGCCTGGGGGGCCACGCAGGAAAGGCCCTTCTGCCCAGAAAAATATGCCGAGGACCACCGGTGGGTGTCCAGAACACCAAGAAGGGGGGGGGGGCTCGGCTCTCCTCTGCCGCAAAAGACCCCCTCTCCCTTTCCTCCCACCCACCTCAGCTTCGCTGCACAAATCTCAGGTGCTCACAGCCGCCTTCCGCCTCGCTTCCGGCCCGGAAATTATTCGTTTCTCTTTCCAGAGGGAAAAACAGCTGCTCAAGGAGCTCGCGAAAAAGAAAGCAGAAAAGAAAAACCAGGCACCCCAGGACGGCTGGGGGGACCTGCCAAAGGCCCCCAATTCGTGGCAGCCGTCGAGGGATCTTCCCACAAAGCCGGATTTACGCCCTTCGCCTGCGGCGGAGGTTCTTCTTCGCGGCTCCAAAGTTTCCTGGGTTCGCAAGAAGTTGGAGTTTAATAAAAGTCACATGCAGAGCGGAGGAGAGGAAGGAAGGAAAAAAAAAAAAGGCAGAAAAATAAATATCAGCCGTCCCAGCTTTCCTCCATGCGGTCGTTCTGCGGTTTTGTAAACTCAGCAGCCATTAAAAAGAGCGTCGCTGGCTCCGGCGCCCGTCGCCCTCCGGGAGCCGCGCGGAGGAGCGAAAAATCCAGTTTTTCAGGGCGCGGAACCCCTGGCGGAAAAGGGCAGAAGGGAAACAAGGTCAGGTGCGTCGTCGGGCCAAACCTCCCCGCGCATTTCACGGAAGTCCTTCGCGAAAAGAAAAGCGGGGGGGGCGGGGGGGTCTCGGGGCCCTCACGGAGAGGGCTCGGCCAGCCGGGACTCTCGAGGCAAAACGTCAGCAGTGGCTCTCCGGCAACGGGGACCCGCTTAGCAGCCCTCCGCGGCCGCCCGGCCTGTCCAAGCGCCCTTTCGCCAAACGGGGGGGGGGGAGAAGGGAGAGCCCCCCCTTCTTCCGCCTAATAAAAGGGGCAGCCCTGCAAGCCGGCCCGGCAGACGAGCGGAGCGGAGCGGCGCAGAAACCCGACTCCGGCCTCTCCCCGGGGCCCCACAGTGGCCGCGAGGAGGCGGCGTCGGGGCGGGGACCGCGGAACCCACCTCTGGCTGCGGAGGGGACGAGCGCACCTCTCCCGCGCCCGAAGTCGGCCGGCCAGGCGGAGGGGCCGCTCGGCGTGGCAGGCAAGACGCCCCCCCCCCGCCGGGCCGGCAGCAGCACTTGGAGCCCGCCGCCCCCCCGCCTCGTGCCAAGCCCGTCCTCCGCCCCGGCCCCGGCGCCCGCCCCGACCGACCCACCGGCCTCGGGGCCCCGCAGCCCTTGCTCCGGCCGCCCGGGGAACCCGGGCTGGGCGCCCCTGCGTGGCTGCTGCCTCCTCGGGCGCCTCCAGCAGCGGAGGGCCCGGGGCACACGCGGGGCTCCGGGAGGCGGAGGGCCAAGCGGGCGCCGCCGACCCGCCCTGCTCCCCCGGGCCGACTTTATACACATCGCTGCCGCAGCCCGGGCGGGCCGCCGCCGCGGTCCTAGCGCCCCCGGACTGGCGTCCTCCCCGGGACGCGAGTGGGCGCCCCCTCCCCTCCCTGCGCGGAAGCCGCCGGCTCGGCCGCCGTTCCCAGGAGGCGGGATTCGTTGGGCAAGGCCGGCCTAACCCGCCAAGCCGACCCGAATCGTGCTCGGCGCGTCCGGGTCCGCGCCTGGCTGGCACCTCGCGCCCTGGGGGAGGGGCTCCGAGAATCCCTAAGCGGCCGGGCGAGCGGCGCTCACACGAGCGGGCCTTGACGGGGCCTGGCCTTCTCACGCCCCGCTCCCCGAAGGAGAGCGACTCCTCCCACGGGGCTTATGGGTCCCCCGCGGAGCCTCTTTCGGGGCCGGGGCCTCCCCCCGAGACGGCGAGTCCGCCCGACGGCCTCGGATCGGGGGCCGGCCCAACCCAGCTTGGCGACCCCTCGGGTCGTGCGGAACTCGCGGCCACGCGCCTCGGCGCAAAAAGGGCCCCGCTGGCGGGACTCGAGTTACTTCGGTTTAAGGACTTGAGCGGTTGGCAGGCAGGAGCTGCGGGGTAAAGCGGGGGGGGGGGCTGGGGGCAATAAGCAGCCGGAATGAGCGGCAGGCGCGCCCCCCACCCGGGGCAGGGCCGTTCCCCACGCAGCCCCCGCCGGGCTCCCCCCACGTCCCCGGGTCGGACGCCGACTCGGCCCGCCGTGCAGACGGGGAGCGGGGGCCGGGAAAGGGGGCGGCCGGCTTGGCGAGGAGGCTGCTCACAGCCAGCCCGAATGGACACGGGGATTTTTTCGCGCGAAGCTCCTGCGGGCTCCGCGGCTTCGCCCGGCCTGCCTGTCCCGGGGCCGTCGAGGGGAAAGCGGCGCAGCGGGCCCCCCGCGTGGGCGTGGGGATGTGGCGTGGCGGGGAGAGCCCCGCTTGGGCGTCGTCGCTGCCGGCCAATCAGAGGCGGCCCCGGTTCTCCGGCCAGCTGAAGCCACGGCCCGGCCAATCGGGAGCGCCTCCTTGCTCCCGCCCCCTCCGTCCCCGGCCGCCTCTTTCGGCCGCTGGCTCCGCGTCTGCCGGAGGGAGGAAGGGAGGGAGGCGGGCGGGGCGGTGGTGCGGGTGGGGGCACCGGAGACCCGAGTTCAAGAGCTTGTAATGTGAGCCTCCCCCGAGTCCGGATTCTCCTTCGGAGGCCGGAGAGTTGCTGCGTCCTCTGGTGGCACAACAACCCCGCGGGGTGGGCCGGGCCGAGAGAGAAGGCCTGGCTCAACCTCACCCAGGGAGCTTCCATGCCCGAGGATGGCTTGCCCGCTTCCGTGCTCCCTGGTATCCGAAGGAGGTCGGATGGGTCAGAAAGGGCTTTCAATCAATCCATCAGAAGAGACTGGAAGGGACCTCGGAGGTCTTCTAGTCCAGCCCCCTGCTCAAGTAGGAGAACCTATACCATCTCCGACAAGTGACTGTCCAGTCTCTTCTTAAAAACCTCCAGTGATGGAGCACCTACGATTTCTGGTGGCAAGCTGTTCCACTGGCTAATTACCCTCACTCTCTTTAATCCCAGGTCGCTTCTCTCCTTGATTAGTTTCCAACCATTGCTTCTTTTCCTGCCTTCGGGGAATAAGTGGACTCCCCCCTCTTCTTTGGGGCAGCCCCCCAAATACTGGAACACTGCTATCCTCTCCCCCCTATTTCTTCTTTTCTTTAGACTAGCCAAACCCAAGTCCCGCAGCCGTTCTTCGTATGTTTTGGTCTCCAGGCCTTGGATCCTCTTTGTTGCTCTTCTCTGAATTTTTTCCAAACTCTCAACATCTTTTTTGTCATACGGTGACCAAAATTGGCTGCAGGATTGCAGTTGTGGCCTCACTAGGGCTTTATAAAGTGGTACTGATATGTTGTGTGATCTTGATTCCATGCCTCTGTTTAGGCAAGCCAGGACCGTATTTGATGCTGCTGCACATTGCTGGCTCGTGGTCAAGGGATCGTCCACTAGGACTCCAAGGTCCCTCTCACAATTTCAGACAGGTGGCTGACCAGTCTCTTCTTTGTTTACGTTGCAGAAGGAGGGATCAGATCCTTCCAACAAACTCTGATTCCTCACCAAGATGACCAGATATGATTCTACGATTATTCAAACTCTACATGACTCACAACAATAAAAATAAAAAACATAAAACCTATGGAAGATGAAAGATGGCAAGACCCGTGGGCAGAAGGATCTTCCCAGCCTCAATGCAGGCTGCCCCCCCCCCAAGAGCCAGTTCTTCTCAGCTCTTCAAGCGGCAGCAGGGGGAGGGCGGATCCAAAGCCTTCCTTGTGTTCCCACCAGTCCGAAGGGGGTCAGGCTAGGAAGCTGGGGGGGGGGCAGGAGCCTGGGCACCCCGCTTTGGGAGGCAGCTTTCCAGCAGGGTGTTCAGGCCCAGATGAGCTGAATGGCAGCTGACGGTTGTGTAATTGGAGGTTGTGTTGTTGCAGCCAGCAGAGAGAGGGCAGGGAGCGCCCAGCCAGCGCCCAGGGAGGCAGGCGCAGTGGCGTTGCCCGGGCAGCCACAGAGGGTGGCCTCTGTGGCTGGGAGCTGGCAAAGAGCCCCGGTGAGACACCCTTCAGGCGGCCTCCTCTTGGCCCCCCCCCCTCCAGCCCAGCAACTGCAATTCCCTGTTTTTCCGCTGCAGCTGCGGTCAAGAAAATTCCCCTCTGCAGAAGGAATGGAAAGAGAGGGTTTTGGATATGGCAAATCGCGAAAAATAATTTAGGGGAGACGGCAGGCTCCCCGTGGTGGGTGGAGGGTCCCAGGATCAAAAGGATCCCACCTTTCCGTCTGCAGCTGGGGGGGGGAAGGAAGTGGAAGGGGCAGGCTGGCCCCCTTCACCAACCCCCCCCCACGCTAGGGAAGGACAGGCCAAGGGCGGAAGGGCAGTGTTTACAGCAAACAGTGGCCCCCGATAAGGAAGGCCTCTCTGCCCCCTCCCAGCCGTGAAGACGTGCCTGCCCCTGCCCCCCCCCTTCTCCAGCCTAGACCCTACCAAGCCACAGCACGCCCAGGCTGACTCAGCTTGGAAGAGTCACCCTTCGCTTGCTGGTGGTGGTGGGTGGCCAAGGGGTTCAGGCCCCACTCCCACCCCGGGACTCCTTTGGTCGAGGGGGGCTTCAGGCCCACCCACTCTGTGTAGGGTAAAAGGGCTGTGGGTTAACGGGGGACCCATGTTCCTCCCACTGAGAGAAGCCACTTTGCATTCATGCCCTCCAATGGATGCCTGCAGCAATGGGGGGGGGGCAGGCCCCTCTCAGGAGGCAGAGAGGCTGGGGAAGGGGAGGCTGCGACCCACCCAGGGGGTGGGGGGAGAGAGCTGCAGAGGAACATGGATGCAGGAATCCACGCCAAGGGTTTATGGAGCCCACATCTGATCATCTCCACGGGCTTCACGGCTTGGAATGGGAAGCTCCCCCTGCCATGCACTGCCCGCCTTCTCTCTGCCTTGGGGCAGGCTGAGGGGGGGCTCTCCTCTCGGGCTTCATGGGGGAGCCTAAATTAAGAAGCCATGTTGTTCCTGTGTCGTGGCTCTGCTCAGTGTTGCTCAGACCGAGCGCCCACCCCTCCTTGCCCCCGGGTGAGAGGGAGACCCCGGGTCAGGTAGCTCAAAACAGATGAGCCTCGAGGTCTCCTGGCACGGCAGACGCAACCCCTGAGCGCATGTGTGTGTGGGGGAGAGACATTTGCTGCTTCCTTGGGGGCTGCCCCCTCTGGCCTTGGGTCTGGAGCAGCTTCAGGGCTCTCTGTGGGCATATACAGACAGCTGAGCCTCCTTTGCTTGCTTTAGTTTCAGAGAACAAGCACAGCCACAGAAGATATTAAGCTATAAACCAGGATTAACAAGGCACAGCTCTGGTTAGGCACCGCAGGGGGCCCCACCATGCTGTGTCATACAGTGTCAGCCCAGACATGGCTACTAGCTTTCTAAAACCTGGTTAAGCGCCAACCCTGGTTCTGATTGAGACACGGGAGGACCTGAGTCTCCTTGAGATGCCAACCTGGCGTGGAGAACGGTCTGCCCAAGGTGAGCGGGCACAGCGTCCTTCAGCCCCCCCCCCCAGGAAGAGCCACCCTCCTCCTTCCCTGCCGCACACAAGTGGCCTCAAGAGACCCTTGCAGAGGCCGGGGGGATGTTTTGAGTCCCAACCCTGCCCTGTTTACTAAACCTGGCCTGTTGCCGGCTCGAGCCCCGCGTTTGTGGGCAAACACTCAGCTGTGATCTGGGCACGTGGGAAAACTGCCCTGATTACAGTCAGCAGGAGAAGCGAGCTTCCGGCAACTGGGATCTGACTTTCATTTGATTTGAGAGAGAGAGACAGAGAGAGAAAGAAAGAAAGAAGGAAAGAGAAAGAAAGAAAGAAAGAGAAAGAAAGAGAAAGGAAGGAAGGAAGGAAGGAAGAAAGAAAGAAAAGTGACACAAGAGAAAAAGAAAGAAGAGAGAGAGGAAGAAAGAGAAACAAAAACACAGAGAGACAGAGAAAGAAGGAAAGAAAAAGAGAAAGAAAGAAGTGACACAAGAGAAAAAGAGGAGAGAGAGAGGAAGAAAGAGAAACAAAAACACAGAGAGACAGAGAGAGAAAGAAAGAAGGTAAGAAAGAAAGAGAAGAAAGAAAGAAAGAGAAGAAAGAAAGGACACAAGAGAAAAAGAAAGAGGAAAGAGAGAGGAAGAAAGAGAACCAAAAACACAGAAAGAGAGACCGAGAGAGAAAGACAAAGACAGAGAGAGGGAGGCTCTTGCTGACCGCAAGCTGTGGCTGTTGGATCCACCACCCATTATGCTCAACCTGGGCAGCTGGGCTCCCTCCTTCCTGTACCCTGTGGGGAAGTGGGGCGTGGGGGGGGGGAGAGACAGGGAAAATCTGGGAGAGGACAGGTGGCAGAATCTGGTTGAGGAGGTGGTCCACAGGCGACCGGCACCCAGTGACACCTCTGTTTTTTGGAAAGAGGCAACTGCTAGGAAGGGCAGGCCCAGACTGACCGCTAAGTGGCTCCTGAGGCCGAGGGGGCAGGCAGACTGAGCCCCACCCTCACCCCCGCTGGACCCCAGCAGGGGCCTTTCTCAGAGGCCCACTGGCCGCAACTGGCCAGGCCACAAAAGCTGCCGCCCCGTGGACCCCCTCCCTGGCAGTCTCTCCAGAGGGGGCTCCCTTGATGCCCTGGGCTCCCAAGAATCCTGGCAGTCCTGGGGGCGCCTCAGAGGACCCCAGCCCCGAGGCTGGGTCTCGGGGTCAAAGAAGGGGGTCGCATCAGCTCTGAGGTCACAGAGGCCCTGTCTCCCCCTTGCCAGGCTGCCCAGCCGAAGAGAGGCTACCCCATGGTGCCCTGGGCCACCCTGGCCCTCGTGGCCACCAATGTGGCCTTCTTCTGCCGCCCCATCCGCCCCCCCAGCGGGGCCTGCCTGAGTGTGCAGTCCGTGTGGGGCCAGGGCCAGTGGGGCCGGCTGCTCTGGGCCCCCTTCCACCACCTGGGCCTCTTCCACCTGCTCCTCAACATGGCCACCCTCCTCTGGCTGGGCTGGGCCCTGGAGCAGGAGGTCGGCACCCTCCGGGCGGGGGCCCTGCTGCTGGCCCTGGCCCTGCTGGGGGGGCTGCTCCACCTGGGGCTCAACTCTCTGCTGGCGCTGGTGACGGGGCAGACGTGGTACCGGGAGCACTGCGCGGTGGGCTTCTCAGGTGCCGCCTCCCCCCCGGTGGGCTCCGAAGCCCAGGAGCGAGCGGGAGGGCATAGAGGGGGGCTAGCAGGGGGCTGGCCAGTGAGGAGAGGGCCCCGAGCCAGCTGTGGGTGCCAGAAGGGGCGGGTGGGCGTTGGGACCCCCCTTCCCTCCTGCCTCACAGGGGCCCCTCCTGTCCTGGTGCACCGCAGGGGTCCTCTTTTCCCTGGAAGCGATGGGCCGGCAGGCGGAGGCCTTCCCCGTGGCAACCATGGCTGCGGGCATCACCCTGACGACCAGGTGGCTCTGCGTTCTGGAGTGCCTGGCTCTGGCCCTCTTCTACCCCAGGTAAGAACCACTCAAGGCACCCCCCCTAGTCTGGCCACGGAGACCAGTCTGGGGCTTCCGGACTGCTCCCTCGCAGGGTGTGGAGAGTCCCCCCTTTGAGTGGGGCTCCGGGGCCTCTCCTCCCACCTGCCAGGCAGGCCTGACCCCCCAAGGCAGATGGGGGGGACCTCTCCTCCACGACTCCCTCCTCAAAGCCACCCCAACCCGTGGCCACGTGTGAAACTCGCGAGAAGCGGCCTTTTCCATCCGCCTAAGGGACCTCCTAGGCCAGAGGCCTCCGAGGAGAGGCGGGTGGTCCCGTCGGAGGGGCCTGGAGGCTTCAGCTCCCAGCCTGTGTCTTCAGAAGGGCCTTCAAGGCCGCCCGGCTCATGGGCAACCACAGGGGACCACAGAACGTCATTGTAGATTCCCCGACGCCTCTGGGCCTGGATGGCTTCCTGGCCACCTTGTGGGTTTAAAGGCAACTGGGCCAAGCTCTGGGAGGAGAGCGTCACTCCTGGCCAACGTAAGCCACTTGAGGAACCTCAAGAGATGTGGGTTGGGAGCCTCAAGACTGCTTCACCCCTTCCCCAAACTTGGGAGTTGTTGGCAAGAACCACTTAGGGGGAGACAGCTAGGAGGAGCCCCACCTCCAGGCTACCAGGGTGGGTGGGAGAGGGGTGTTGTGGTCCACAATCAAAGCCGCAAATGTGTCCTTGTGCTTCTCTCCCCCACAGCAGCTCCTTCACCGGTCACCTCTCCGGCCTCCTGCTTGGGCTGACTCTGTCCAGCACCGACCTGCTCAGCGAGATCATCTGAAGGACATGCCCCCCCCAGTCCCGTCCCGGCTCCGGGGTGGGCGAAGCAGGAAGAGGCGGCCAGGCACACCCTCCCCAAATATAGCCCTCCCCACGTGGCTCTGCCTCAGTGGTCTCTGTGGGTGGGGAGGAGCCACACTGGCCTCGCCCTCCAGCCGGCCCTTGCAATGGACCCCCCCCCCACAGCAGAATGTCAGGTTGGGTTCCTGGCAGGAGCTGCTCTGCACTGGCCTTCCAGCACAGGCGCCCTGAGGCCACTGCTGAAGGAAGGCCAGGACACCCCCTCCCCAATTGGCTCAGCCTCTAAGCCAGTGGTTCTCAACCTGTGGGTCGGGACCCCATTTGGGGTCGAACGACCATTTCACGGGGTCGCCAAACAACGCAGTCCGCCATTTCCCCCCCCTTTTCCTTAGCTCTGCTACTCCCTTTTATTCTATTGGCTTTTGAAAGCCAATAGAAGAGACTCTCTTGAATAGAGTCTAATTCTATTGGCTTTCCAAAGCCAATAGGAATTGTCCAGGCTGTCTCTGCCCTGCTGAGCCCGCCAAAAGCCCCAGTCTGCAATCGGTGCTGCACCAGTTGAGTAGTCCTCGACCTACAACCGGTTGGGGGTCACGGCATTAAAAAGGTTGAGAACCACTGCTCTAAGCCCCCCCACCTGGCACAGGCTGAGCCTGCCCCATCAGCCCCAGAAACAAGAGCAGCCCCAGCCCCCCCCCCCAGGCAGCACCAACCGGCTCCTTGGAAGGACCACGATGAGCCTTTTGGGGAGCAGGACGCTTTCCGTGCCTTGTCCCGAGCATCACCACAGGCTGTGGCCGCTCCTGGGGGTGGAGAATGTGTGTGTGTGTGTGAATTCTGGCTGGGGAATTCTGGGAGTCGAAATCCACAAGCCCTTTAAAGTCCTCATGGACTCCCCCTCCCCCCCGATGCAGACCCAGCTCAGTGGGGTCCCACGTAGGATACCAACTTCAACGGCACAGGGGTTTTCCGTGGGAGCCCAGCCGGGCTGAACCCAGGCCGTGATCATCTCCAGGCCACCTAAGTGCAGCTGAGCCCGGCTGTCAGGTCGCTCTCCCCAAAGAAGGTGGGCTGGAAAGGCATCACCTGGGCACATCCCCACTCCATCTCGTGTGTGTGTGTGTGTGTGTGTGTGTGTTTCCTTTGACACCCCCCCACGGGAAACCTCAGCACGTACACACACGCACACGCAGTGGCTTCTGCCGTCACAAGAAGGAAACACCTCTGCACCAGGTCGTTAAATACACTTTTTTTCTCTCTTCGTATAGATATATCTGTAGACATTTTGAGTGCAACACGCTTGTGTTCGCTATACATATAGATTTGGTGAGCATATAGATATAAGCCTTAAAAACGTAGGTCCATATTTTTCTCCAAAATATAAACTCCAGTCTTCTTTGCGGGAGCAAGGGGGAGGACTGGGGGGGTGCTACAAAAGAACGAGGACGGTGAGCAGACCACCACCCCCCGGAGCCCTGGGATGAGATGCTGCAAAGAAGGAACAACGTGCAAAGGAGACCCCCACCATGACACCCTCCCATCCAGGCATGGCTTTGCTGCTGGGGGGGGGGGAGACTAAGCATAAACAAGCGTCTTTGGCTTGTAGGGGCCGGGTGGGGGGAGATTAAATTCGGCCCAGTCAGATTTTCCAAAATCCCCCCCAAGAGCGTGACTCAGGAGGGGGGGGGGCTTTCCGAAAGCGCAAATCTCACTTGTGGACATGACTCAGCAGGCACTGATTGACGAGGGAGGGGGTCGGGGGGTGGAAGACTTTTCTGAGTGGGGGGGGGGGCAGACGTGGAGCAGACTCTGGGACAGAGCTCTCCCCTGGGGCAGGCGAGGGGGGACATCCGGGCAGAAGGGAGCCCCCCCCCTCCCCAAAGGCTCCGAAAGATATGGCACGTGAGAGCACTCCCCCCCCCTCTGGAAAGGAAATGTGGGGGGGGCAGCTCCCAGTGCTGGGAGGGGGCTCCGTCCCTGCTTCCTTTTCTTCAGGGTCCACTGGGGCTGCGGACAGTGCCCCCCCACCCGCTGAACTCACTAGCTCAGTGTTTCGCAACCTTGCCCATTTTAAGGCGTGTGGACTTCAACTCCCAGAATTCCACAGCCAGCATTGCTGGCTGTGGAATTCTGGGAGTTGAAGTCCACACGCCTTAAAATGGGCAAGGTTGAGAAACACTGCAGACTAGCTGAAACCTCCCGGACTGACCCCCCTCCACTCCGCTGCCCCCAGGTTTAGTGCAAGAAAAAGCCAAGAGTGAGGAGGAGAGGCAGCTGGGGGGGGGTCCTCTGGCCTTCTCCCCCCCCCTAAACTTCCCCTGGCCAGATGCCGCCAGATGAGCGTGGGGGCAGGGAGGGGAGGGGCCGAAGAGGGGGAGAAGCGGCACCAGACTGCACACAGAGTAGGCCAATTGCATGGCCCCCCTTAACCCCCCCAGGCTGAAACTGCAGGACCTGCTGGAGACCCCCGGGTGGGAGAGCAGCCCGGAGGGAAGAAGCTGCAGCAGACCCAGGCTCTGTGCTGGGGGGGGGGGGGAGAGAAGAGAAGGAGGCCCTTCACAGGGTGTCTTTGGCCTCGGCTGGCCGCCCCCCCCACCCCGCCACCCCTCCGCTGGGGCCCCGGCCGCCCCCGTGACCCGTCAGGCACAGCCTTTGGCTTCCTCCGAGGCGGCCCCTTCCTGGGGATGGAGGCCCTGCTGTGCAGAACTGACCCCCCCACTCCAGGCCGAGGGTCTCCATCCGCTCTGGAGGCCGGAGGGGGCTAGGAGAAAGGGTTGGTGGGGGGGTGCTTTGCCGGGCCGAAGCGGGGCGAAGGCGATGCAGCCATCGGGTTCTGCGGGGGGGGGGGGGAGAGAGAACGAGGGTGAGGGACACAGGCTGCGGCTGCAAGACCCTCCCAGTGACCTCTCAGACCCCTCCCCAGAAACCCCTGCTCAGAGGGGGGTGGAGGAGCAGGCCAGGCCCCCTTACCACAAAAGGGTTGGTGGAGTAGCCAGCAGGCAGTCCAAGCGGCCTCTGTCCGTCTCGGCCTGCAGGGAAGCCTCCGAAGGACGTCCCTGAAGCCGAGGAGGGGGCGGTCAAGAGAGGGAAGCCCGCAGCCCTTGCCCCCACCACTCCCCTGGGAGGCCGGGCTCCCTCTTACCCCCGTTGTGCTGCTGACCCACAACGCCCTGGGTGGGGAAGAACAGCGGCTCCTGCTGCAGCGGGGAAGCGAAGGTGCCGCCGGAGAGCGGGGAGGCCGAGAAGCTGCCGGGTGACCCGACCAGGAAGGTGCCTGCCGGGGGAGGGACCAGAGTGAAGGGACCTGGGAGGTCTTCTAGTCCAACCCCCTCCCCCCCCCGCTCCAGCAGGAGACCCTTCGTCATTTCAGACAAGGGGCTGCCCAATTTCTCCGGTTTTGGAGCACCTGCAACTTCTGGTGGCAAGCTGTTCCCCTGGTGAATCGTCCTCGCAGCCAAGAAGTTAATTCCAGGTTGCTCCTCTCTCTCCTTGACTGGTTTTCATCCGTTGCTTCCCTGCCTGCCTTTGGGGGCTTTGGAGGAAGTGCTCTCCTCGGCTCTCTCTCTGGGGGCTCTTGCCTCCTTCCCCCTCGGGGCTGGGCCCAGGACGCTGCTGCCCTCGTGGGTCCCCCCACAGCACCAGTCACTTCTTAGCTCTGAGAGGTGGGGGGCCGGCCAAGCACCCCTGGGCTAACAAAGTCCCTCGCGCTAAACCAGGGGTAGGCAACCTGGGCTCTTTTAGGACTGGTGGACTTCAACTCCCAGAATTCCTGAGCCCGCATACTCCTTGTGGCCCTGCTCACTCTCTTAGAATCCCTTCCTCTCCAATCTCTCCGCTTTAAGGGATAGGTGAAAAAAAAAAAAAACAGGCATGGCTGGCTGAGGAATTCTGGGAGTTGAAGTCCACCAGTCCTAAAAGAGCCCAGGTGGCCTACCCCTGCGCTAAACTGACCCCTGGAGGAAGGGGGCTCCCACTGAGGAGCTTCCCACAGCTTTTGAATGGCTCGACCCGCTAAAACTCATGAAACGCAGGACAGCTGGAACCCTGATTCTCGGTAAGAAAAGCCCCAAAGCTCTGGGACATTTGGACTGGCACTTGAACCCGGAACAGGGAGAGCCAGAAAGAGAGGAAGGGGCTCATGGCCCTTCTTCCAGGACCCCTCCCCCAGAGAGCTGGTTTCTAAGCAGCAGTTCCATCTCGCCAGGGCCTTGGCATCCCGCAACGGCTGGGCGGCACCAGGGCTACCCTCAGCTGGTCCTCCGGCCAGGGTTGCCGCTCTTCACAGGGCTGTCCCCCCTCCCCGAGAGGGCTTACCTTGGGCCAGGCCGTTGGTCTGGAAGGGGTTGGTGGAGGGGAGCGTGGGCTGGGAGACCACCGGACTGGCAAAGGGGTTGGTGCACGTCGGAACTGCGGGAGAGAGGCAGGAAGGGGCATCACCCGCTTGAGGCCCTAGGGGTGCCCGCAGCCCCTCGCCCAAACCCAGGAGTGCTACTTACCCCCGAAGGCCGTAGCTGGGCTGGAGGGGGGCAGGACGGGGGACTGGCTGAGGGGCCCGAAGACGCTGCCGGAGGAAAGAGCGGGTCAACGGGAGGGGAGACAGCCGCAAGACCGGCTCCTGGCTTGGCCCGGGGGGGGGAGGGGGCAGCCGAGGGAGGGAACCGCCCGGGCACCAGCGGGAGGGGAGCTACCTGCTCGGGACCCCTCCCACGCGGAAGGCTCCGCCCAGGCTCGGAATGCCCACTCCGGGCTGGCTGGCAGGCGAGGCGGGGAAGGCTCCCACGTGGGCACCACCTGCAGGGCAGAGGAAGAAGAGCAGCGGTCAAGGGGGTCCTCGCTGGCAGGACAGCCCCAAAGACGCCCGTCGCTCACCGAGCGGGACCCCCCAGACTCCCCCTTTCAGTACAAACGCTCCCCAAAGGAGCTTGGCAAGAGCGCCCCCTTCCCTCCCCCTCACAGCAGGCAAGCACAGGGTGCCCCCTGCAGCCTAAGGGGGGCCGGGATGGCTGTTCCTCCCACCCCCCCACTCACAGTGAGCCAAGACATGCACCCCGCAAGCATCCCTGCGAGATCGGAATCAGACCCCCCCCCTGGAAGCACTGGGGGTGACTCTCCCGAGGCCTGAGGGCAGGGAAGGGGGGGAGGGGGCTGCAGTTACCTGCAGGGACCGGTTGGCTCTGGAAAGGGCTGTGGCTGGAGGCTAAGGGGTCCCCAAAAGTCGACAGGGCCGGGCCTCCCGCAAAGGCATCGAAGCTGGGAAAGGCAGGGTGAGCTGCTACTGGGCCTGAGGACACAAATGGGGAGGGGGAAAGAGAGAGTCTTATTCCACCCCAAGGACCACAGACCCTTCCCCCCCCCCCCAGAAAAGGCACTGTGGTCTCTACTCTTTCCAAGCACAGAGGTTGCCTTTGGGAGGGGGGATTCCTCCAGCGGCACGGCAGTCTGGAAACCAGGAGGGGGGTGGGAGTCCCAGGCCGTTTCAGGCTGGTCACCCAGTCCGCGCTGCCCTCCCTCCCAGTTCCCCTACAACAGGGGTTCTCAACCTTGGCAACTTTAAGACTTGTGGACTTCAACTCCCAGAATTCCTCAGCCAGCAAAGCTGGCTGAGGAATTCTGGGAGTTGAAGTCCACAAGTCTTAAAGTTGCCAAGGTTGAGAACCCCTGCCCTACAAGCTGCGATCCTCAGTATGCTCAGCCTGTTCCCTGCCAGCCCCCAGCCCCCCCCCATTGATGCTCAGGGTCCCGCCTGAGCTCCTCCCCCTTCTGAGACCACCCAGGTCTTCCTCTCTGATAGCCCGGTCAACATAGAGGAGAAGGCTTCGGCCTATGGCTCCCCCATGCCCGACAGGAAGACCCCACCCACATTACGAGACCCCCCTGGAGCCAGACGGTACTCACCTCCAAAGGCAGGGAAGGCAGGCCCAGGTGGGGGGGCCGCAAAGGGGTCCCCCCCTATGTCCGCCAGGAGGTCTGTGCTGGCCTTTTTGGCCGGCTGGGCAGCCGGGGGCGGGGCTTTCTCCGACACCTGCAAGAAAAGGGGGTTACTGGGAAGCAGAAAGCCCCCCCCCTCCCCCCCAGACTGCACAAAGCCAGCCGTGGGTCAAGGACAGAGCCCCTCCCCCATGCAAGGGGCCCAGTGCCTGCCTTTAAGTCATGTGCCAGCTCCTCCAGACTCCCTGCCCCCAAGCTGCCAGGACCCCTTGGCTGAACTGGGCCCCCAGCGGAGCCTGCATGCCAGCTGACTGGGTGGAAGGGCCCAGGGGAGCCCCCCCCTTAGCCAGGAGCTCTGACCTGGGGGGTCTTGGCACCAGTCTTGGCTTCCGCAGGGGAACTCTGGGCACTCAAAGCGGCTAAGCTTCTGGCCTGCTCAGGCGACACATACCTGCGAGTAAAAACGGGACAGGGTAAGCCCCACCTGGGGGAGAGGGGGGAAGGCTTTCCAGCCCTCCTGCTGCCTCCTCCTCCTCCTCTTTGCCCCCTTGATGAGTTTATCCCAGGGGGCGGAAGCCCCCTCCTGCACATGGGCCCTCCTCGACATGCGACTAACGGAGTCTGTATCATTAAGGCCGTACGTCGTAACGGTTCTGAACTGGGTCACTCACGAGACAGTCCGATTTTACAGCGATCAATCAGAGCAGAGCTGGAAGGGACCTTGGGGGGGGGGTCTTCTAGTCCTGGTGCTTTGGAAAATAGGTTGATTCTTCCCCCCCCTCTCTGTGGCAGCCCCTCAAATACTGGTACGCTGCTATCACGTCCCCCCTGTTCCTTCTTTAGAGTGGCCAAATTCAAGTCCGGCAGCCGTTCTTCGTGCGTTTTAGTCTCCTGGCCTTGGATCATCTCAGTTGCTCTTCTCCGAATTTTTTCCAAGGTCTCAACAATCTTTTTTGTAATGCAGTGACCAAAACTGGATGCTGGTATTCCAGGTGTGGCCTTAATAAGGCTTTATAAAACGGTGCTAATTTATAATGTGATCTTGATTCTGCGCCTGTTTACACAACCCAGCATTGTATTCGCTTTTTCGGCAGCGGCGCCTATACACGGTTGGCTCGGGGTCAAGCGATCGTCCACTGGGACTCCGAGGTCGCTCCCACCGTGGCTGCTTTTGAGCCAGATTTCGCCTAATCTGGGCTTGTGCCTTTGATTTTTCCCGCCCGGGTGTAAAACCTGGCTTTTCTACACACTGATGACATTTTTTTCTAGCTGTCCTTAAGTGAATGACGCAGTCGTTAAGCAAACCCACAGCTAGCTGGGGTGTGGGAGCGTCTTGGCAAATCACGTGACCATGGGACACACCGCATACTGTGTGTGGGGGAACGACAGAACTGGGGCGCAACACCTCCTCTGCAGGTAGGCCACAACTCCAGATGGTCGCCTAGCAACGAGTCCTACGTCGTAGAGCCGCTCAGTCCTCCGATGCCAGATCTATGACCGTTATTAAGTCCTTAAACCAGTGGTTCTCAGCCTGTGGGTCGGGACCCCATTTGGGGTCGAACGACCATTTCACGGGGGTCACCAAACAACACAGTCCACCATTTTTTCCCCCTTTTCCTTAGCTGTGCTACTCCCTTTTATTCTATTGGCTTTTGAAAGCCAATAGAATAGATCTCTTGAATAGAGTCTAATTCTATTGGCTTTCCAAAGCCAATAGGAATTGTCCAGGCTGTCTCTGCCCTGCTGAGCCCGCCAAAAGTCCCAGTCTGCAAACGGTGCTGCACCAGTTGAGTAGTCCTCGACTTACAACCGGTTGAGTAGTCCTCGACTTACAACCGGTTGGGGGGTCGCGGCATTAAAAAGGTTGAGAACCACTGCCTTAAACTCCTGGAGACGAGGCAGGGCAGAGATTTAGCCCACCAAGCTGCCTGTCGCAGGGCGATGCCCGTTCCTACACCGTGGCCCTAAGGAGCCGCCTGACACTCAGAGGCCGGTCTGCCTGGGGCCTGTTCCAGGACGGGAAGAAGAAAAGGCCATTAAAAACAAACAGGCAGCCGGGTGGGCAGGGGGAAGGGGATTCAGCGGGGCCAACCGAGGTCAAGCCCCTCCTGCCAGCTTTCTTGAACGGTTGACGTGGAAGACCGACACGCCCGGCGTTTTTAGCCTCTCGGCTCCAAATTAGGGGCTGTTTGTGCAAGCCCTGGGGATTTCAGTACGAATTCAGGTCCTTTCAGCAAGGGCAGCCCAGCTGCGTCCTGCTGTTTCTTATTGGGTTTTCTGTTAATGTTTTTTTTTAAAAAACAAGCTTTTTGGTTAATTTTTCTGCGCATTGGCTGGCTAGTGGGAAACAACAGGGGCTGGCGATCCACCTGCTCTCCTGCCCCAGGGATGGACAGGACTGGTTTGCACGGCTGGGACAGCCGAGCTCTATCGACGTTTGCTCAGCTGGAAGCCAGCCAAGGGAAACGCTGCACCGGAGTGCCCGAAGCGATGGCTTCTGCTCGGAGGCAGCCCCACACAGTGCCAGCCCCACACAGCCCCGAGGCTACGGACCTCCTCAGGGGCCGAATGCAGAGCCTCTGCTTTCATGCTCACCATCGCTTCTTCTCGTATTTCTCCTGCAGAAACTCCTTCACTTTCTGAGGGTCCTGAGAATCTGGCAGCAGGGACGACCGCGAATCAAAAGACCCCAACCAGATCTTCCGGCAGGCCTGGGGAGGGGTCCGAACGAGAGGAAATGGCTACAAACAGGGACGTCTCTGGAGAGGCTCAGTCGTCCAGGTCCCGGTTGCCCCAAAGGTGTTTCTCCCCCCAAAGGCAGCCAGGCTTTCTTCCGGCTGCCTTTTGGGAAAAGCTCCTCTGGGGCTCCCAATCAGGACTCCGTCCCTCTCTAGGAAGCAAATCCGTTTAATCAAAGGGTGTAGCTGAGAAGCAGAGGACCCTAAGGGACGCAGCCTCTTCCGCCTGGGCAAGGAAGGGCTGGGCTGCTTCTTAAAATGCAAAGATGCTTGCAGCGTTGTATATATACACACACCCAGTTTACATCCCTTTATGCCTTGGGGATGGGAGGGAAATTACCTAATAAACTGATATGCTGCTCAGCTTGTAGGCAGGCAACTCTGTGGGGGTTTATCAGATGGTGTGGGACAGAGGTAGGCAACCTTGGCTCTTTTAGGACTCGTGGACTTCAACTCCCAGAATTCCTGAGCCAGCATGGGGGAACTATGGCCCCCTCATGAGTGGTGGACTTCAACTCCCAGAATTCCTCAGCCAGCATGGGGGAACTATGGCCCCCTCATGACTCATGGACTCCAACTCCCAGAATTCCTCAGCCAGCATGGGGGGAACTATGGCCCCCTCATGAGTGGTGGACTTCAACTCCCAGAATTCCTCAGCCAGCGGGGGGGGGGGAACTATGGCTCCCTTGATGACTTCTGGACTTCAACTCCCAGAATTCCTGAGCCAGCATGGGGGAACTATGGCCCCCTTCATGACTGGTGGTGTTCAACTCCCAGAATTCCTGAGCCAGCATAGGGGAACTATGGCCCCCTTCATGACTGGTGGAGTTCAACTCCCAGAATTCCTGAGCCAGCATGGCTCAGCTTGGAAACCTCTCCCTTTTCCCTCACGGCTGGCTCAGGAATTCTGGGAGTTGAAGTCCACGAATCATAAAAGAGCCAAGGTTGCCTACCCCTGGTGTGGGATGTTACTGGAATCAAAGTGTGCCTGTTCAACCATTTTATCACCAAAGGCAAAGCAGCCAAGACCCCCCCCTCCCCGTGACCCCCACTCACTTCATTCCCACGAGACTGGAGGAACTGCACCTCGCCCTCTGTGAAGGTGGTCATGGAGATGGATTTCACCCGGTGAGGGGGATTCAGGCCACGGCTACATGGGAGGGGGGGGAAGAGAAAAGCAAGTTACAGTAATGCACAGGTAACAGATTGATAGAGTTGGAAGGGATCTTGGAGATCTTCTAGTCCAACCCTGTTTGAGACTAGTGGCTGTCTAGCCTCTTCTTAAAAACCTCCAGTGATAGAGCCGCCACAACTTCTAGAGGCAAGCAGTTCCACTGGCTAATTGTCCTCCCTGTCAGGAAGTTTCTCCTTAATTTCAGGTCGCTTCTCTCCTTGATTAGTTTCCGTCCGCTGCTTCTCGTCCCGCCTTCTGCTGCTTTGGAGAATAGCCGGACCCCCTGGTGCTTTTTCAAAAGGAAACCGGACTTCAGTCCTGAACTGAAGAAGCTTTCCTGGATATGAAGCGAAAAGTCTTCAAGGAAACACAAAATCCAGTCGCCTTTTAAAAAAGCACCATGACCTGGATGACTGAGCACCTCTTCATTGACAGGGGGAGCCCCTCTTCTTTGTGGCAGCCCCTCAAATATTGGAAGACTATCATGTCTCCCCTGGTCCTCCTTTTATGGGCCCTGACCGGAGCTGGATGCTCCCTAGGCCCCTAGGACAGTGTTTCCCAAACTTGACAATTTTAAGGCATGAGGACTTCAACTCCCAGAATTCCACAGCCAGCAACGCTGGCTGTGGAATTCTGGGAGTTGAAGTCCACATGCCTTAAAATTGTCAAGTTTGGGAAACACTGCCCTAGGAGACAGGGCAGGGCCGAGTTTGGGGGTGAATCTTCGGCCTGCAAGAGGGCCAATCGGGTGAGTGGGGCTGACGACAGGCAACCACGCAGCCAGGACCCTCCCCCCCTCCCCCCATTCTGAGCTGAGATTCAGGGCCAAGCAGCGTCCAGTTCCTGCCCGCAGGCTCTTCCTGGCTCAGTGGCAGCCAAGTTTCCACCCGTCTGAACTGCGGATTCTTCTTCGGCCCCTGGCAGTTAATGATTAAGAGGACCAAACAATTCAGCTCTCAGACCGTCCTTCGGAGAGGGAAAGCAACACGGGGAGGGACCCAGCTCAGCGTGGCTTCAGACTGGGTCCTAAATCTTTTGGGTTTCCACAAATCAGACACATCCACAGCTGGCTGGGGAATTCTGGGAGCTGAAGTCCACAAGTCTCGGAGTTGCAGAGAGTGGACCCCCCTGTCGGAGCTGATCTCCATGGAGGAAAAGGAAACACAGGCCTCGCTTGCTCCAAACCCATCTATATGCCGAGGATGCCAAGCTCCTGCGGTGGAGCGTTCTCTATCCCTTTGAGACGCCCGGTGAAATTAGGGCCGCGTTTCCTTCTGACACAGGCCTCTTCATGCCGCGTGGCAGAGGCTAGCAAGCTGCAGCCCATTTTCAATGCAGAAACTTTCCTGGATGCTCAACACACCTTCACCTGTTCTTCTTACAAGTTCAAGATGCTTATTTTCATGGCATCTTCCCCAGCTATCAAGGTCCCCCTTCATAAACCTGGTGTGGTGTGAGCAAACAACACAACTTTCCACTGCCCCAATCCTTAGTTTTCACAAACAGGTTAAAGATGTTGTGTGAGCGGTCTTTTAGATCTTGCTTGTCCTTTTTTTGCAAGCGTCTATTCCATTTTATTATCAGTGATCTGCCCAGGTACGTTAAGATTGGGGCACAAATTGCATCTGCTCCAATCACTGTAGTTTCCATCTGCCAAGACCGGAATAAGGGAATGCCCGGACATCTCCCCTCCTTGCCCCACTGATGCTGGTAGCCCACATTTGAATTCACGTTCCTATCTGAAGCAGGATCAGCCACCGAGGGTGGCAACAGGCTACGGGACCAAGAAACGAAATGCAGATCTGCAGCTCTCTGCATTGCCTGCTTGGAAGCGCTGGCATCGTCCAGAGGCAGCGGGCCAGGGACTGCCACCCCCAGGGCGACCAGCAGAGTTTGAGAACAGAATAAAAAGAGAAGGAGGACAGTGGCAGGAAGCCAGGCATTTCTTTCTTCGAGTCTGATGGGTGGACTTCAACTCCCAGAATTCTCCAGTGAGATGGCCGGATACGGATCTACTCTCTCTGATCCTTTGTGGGTCTGACCTTGAACGTGGGGGTGCAAAACAGCCTAGAGGCCAATGTTGCTCAACCTTGGCCGCTTGCAGAAGCGTTGACTACAACTCCCAGAACTCGCTGGCTGGGGAATTCTGGGAGTTGTAGTTCACACCTTTGCTTGCTTCTCACGGTTGAGAAACTCCGCTCTCCCTGGCGGAAAATACCTGCAGGCAGGCAGGCAGGCAGGCAGGTAACGTTTGCCCCCTGCAAGTGCCAGGTGTGCTGCTCCTCCCTCCACCCTCAAGGGGGGGGGCAAGGCTCCGCTCCCCCCACCCAGGCAAGGGGGAGCACCCCAGGAAGGAGGGAGGGGTCTCTCTCCCCCCCGGCAGTCTCACAGGGGGCGGGGAGAAGCCTTTGCGCCCTGCAGGTGCCAGGTGTGCCGCCCCTCCCTCCCTCCCCCCGACCTTCAAGGGGGCGGGGGGCAGGGCTCCCCTTTTAACCCCTGGAAAGCCCCCTTCCCCACCCAGGATCCCCAGGCCAGGGGGAGCCCCCGGGGAGGGAGGGGGGGGACTCACAGCGCCCCCGAGCAGGCGGTGCAGACGAAGCTGCCGATGGTGATGTCCACGTAGGTGACGCCGCGCTGCCCGCACTCGAAGCACAGGCGGCTGGCCGGCTCCGCGCTCACCAGCTCCCGCACGCGGCGGGACCACAGCTCCGACTCCGAGTCCCGCGGCGAGCCCGGCTTCCTCGAGCCCGGCCCGGACGCGGAGCCCCCGCCGCCCGCCGCCGCCGCCATCCGGGCGCACCTGAGCCCCACGGCTGTCCCCGGACGCCGCCTCCGCGCATGCGCCGGGCGCCGCCCACCTCGCGCGACGCATGCTCGCCTCGCAGGGCCCTCGCGCGCACCGTTAGCCTAACGGTAGGGGCAGGGTGTGGCCTGCGCGCGCCTACGCGGAAGCTGTCGGCGGGCTAAGCCTGCCCGGGGGCGGTGTCCTTGTGGCGCATGCGCACCACTGGCGAAGCGCGCAGGAGCCCGTGCGTGCCATGGGCAGGATCCGATGCCTCTCTGCTTGGGACGCGGATCTATCGAGCGTTTTTGCTTCTAACACGCATCTAGTCTCTCCAATCCTTGGCTAGGCTGACTTTGCTAAACAGGATAGAGGCCGTTAGGAAGTTTAAGAGGGGTGGACTTCAACTCCCAGAATTCCCCTGGGTTAAGGAATTCTGGGAGTTGAAGTCCACGACCCCTCTTAATCTTGCCAAGGTTGAGAAACGTCGGTGTGGGCCTTCTCCAAATCAGCCACACATTCCAAAAATTTGGGTAGCCTCATGAACCGATGAAGACCCCCAACGTGGGCAGTGAGGTGGGCACTGTCCTCCACACCCTCAGATACCCAGGATGCTCTCCCCAAGTGGGTCCCTGTCCTGGACTTCAAGGTCCAGGAAGAATCGGACATCCGGGGAGCATGGGGGACCGAGGAGAGGCTGGCAAGGTGGGCATGCCAGGGCAGCTCAGCTGGTGGGTCACTGGAGGGGCAGCTTCCCTGGCATAGCCCCTCTGGGCATTCGGCCCTCAGGATTGGGGACCTTGCAGCTAAAGGAATGAATAAATACACGGAGGCCCCAAATGAACAGATTGCAAAACCACACATGCCTGTATTATGTTCTATTATTAATGAATTAATTATTAACTAAATTTATTTGCCACCCATCTGGTTTTGAAATGACTGGCGCCTTGCAGCATAAAAACATTAAAATCATCAGAAATAAATTTTCCTGTTGGCAGTTACGCAGAGGTATTCGTCACCAGTCGATTACCCCTTTTTTTATTTAAAATTTATGTGTTTAAATTTCTGGGGCATTCCAACTTTCAGTTTAAATCAAGATAAATGTATGTTTCTGAAAACAGCCAATTTCCCTTCAAATAGTTCTCATTAGGGGATTATTTTCTGCGCTTCATTTTATCAATTGTGCTTTGATTGGTCAAGGACCAAAATAGCAAAACCAGCAAGTCTGCATTGGGAAGACTGTAGGGGTGACACGATAGCAGCCTTACAATATTTGAGGGGCTGCCCCAAAGAAGAGGGGGGTCAACTTATTTTCCAAAGCCCCCGAAGGCAGGACAAGAAGCAACGGATGGAAACTAATCAAGAAGAGAAGCAACCTGGAATTAAGGAGAAACGTCTCTAACAATGAGGACAATTAACCAGTAGAACAACCTGCCTCCAGAAAGTGTGAATGCTCCAACACTGGAAGTTTTTAAGACTGCACAGCCACTTGTCTGGAATGGTATAGGCCAGTGGTTCTCCACCTGTGGGTCGGGACCCCATTTGGGGTCGAATAACCATTTCACGGGGGTCGCCGAACAACGCAGTCTGCCATTTTTTTCCCCCTTTTCCTTAGCTGTGCTCCTCCCTTTTATTCTATTGGCTTTGGAAAGCCAATAGAATAGACTCTCTTGAATAGAGTCTAATTCTATTGGCTTTCAAAAGCCAATAGGAATTGTCCAGGCTGTCTCTGCCCTGCTGAGCCCGCCAAAATTCCCATTCTGCAAACGGTGCTGCACCAGTTGAGTAGTCCTCGATTTACGACCGGTTGAGTAGTCCTCGACTTACGACCGGTTGGGGGTCACGGCATTAAAAAGGTTGAGAACCACTGGTATAGGCCATAGGGTCTCCTGCTTGAGCAGGGGGTTGGACTAGAAGACCTCCAAGGTCCCTTCTGTTATCCTGTAATCCCACATCAATTAACCAATGGAAGGGCTTGCCTCCAGAACTTGTAGGTACTTCATCACTGGAGGCTTTTAAGAGACGGGGCAAAGATTTGTCTGAAATGGAACAGGAGCTCCTGCCTCAGCAGGAGAAGAGGACTCTTGTTATTCTGTGGTTCTGTTATTCTGACTGCACTACGACCCTTTTTCGCTGTTGCCAAACAGCCTCGTGAAGCAAAAGCTAATATTTGGGCAGGCACCCACTGTGCCCTGGGCTACTGGGAAGATTTTGGCTTCGGGATGATGGTCTTTGAACAGTTGGCAGCCTGCAACAATTTGAGGCGTTCCCCTCCCAACGCAGGAGCCAGGCTGCTTGCAGGCTTCTGACAACCCAGGAGACGGAGGCGGGAGTGACCGGCTGGCGATTCACACCATTGCTGTAAATAATCCTTGCAGCCTCCAAAAGGGGTGGGAATTCACAAGTGAGGGGGGAGGAGGAGGAGGAGGAGGTGTCCAGCCAGCCTGGCTGCGCCTGATTGTGCTGGCACCACCTTAGCAAAGTGTTCACATACACGCCAGTCATGTGTTTCCCAGATTTGTTGTTCGTTTGTTAATTTATGCATCAGGTCTTCGTAAATCTCCCTCCCCCATCGATGCAACAGGCACAGTGAGTTCTCCGAGTCCAGCCCCCATGAAACTCTTTGGGGATATTCTCCAATCCAGCTTGATTCTGTCTATGAAAAAAAAAATCTTCATTTCCCCCCACCCACGTTCCCTTCACCCCCCCTTCTGTATTTTGGAGTTGAGTTTGTTAACCTCTTGTGATAAAATAAACAAATAAGTGCATGCAGCATCTCTTATATAATGGTCAAGGCCTAAAACAGGGGTATCCAATCTTGGGCACTTTAAGACTTGTGGACTTCAACTCCCAGAATTCCCCAGCCAGCTTTGCTGGCTGGGGAATTCTGGGAGTTAAAGTCCACAAGTCTTAAAGTGGCCAAAGGTGGAGAGCCCTGCCCTACAGTGGCCAAGATTGGACACTCCTGGCCTAGAACTTGGAAACTGCTAACTTACAGGTAATAGAACCATATCGAAAGACAGGATTATGCGCAGGAACCTCAGGAGAAAAACACAATTGTTGTGGCTACACAAACAATGCCCATTTACAGAGTGTTTCTGGAGTGCTAAAGGAGACGGCCTTGCAGGGCTGAGCCCTCAACGCACCGGGCAGTTGCACTGAAGGCAGACAGGAAGCCAAGCCATGTTACAGGCAAGGGTGGGCTGTAGCCCCCTGGATACCCCTCAAAAGCCAAGAATTTCCTGGCCCCGGAAAGGGTTACGAAACCTGTGTGCGAGTTCTCCCACAGAGGGCAAGACGGTGCCCAGAACGTAAGGCCAAGTTATAAGGAAGGAAAGTAGTACTGGTAGTCCTCCCCTTAGTGACCGTTTAAAGCTCTGAAAGAGGCGAGTTATGACCTTTTTCACACGGCCATTGCAACAGCCCCACGGTGACTTGATCAAATTCAAGACGCTTTTCCACTGACTCAGCTTTATGACCATTGCAGTGTCCCCATTTGCAACCAAAGTCAATGGGGAAGCCAGATTCACTTAATAACCGTGTTGCTAACAACCACTGCAGTGATTTACTTAACAGCTCTGGCAAGAGAAGTCGTGAAATGGGGCAAAACTTCCTTAACAAGTGTTAACAATAATAATAGAGTTGGGAGGGATCTTGTAGGTCATCTAGTCCAACCCCCTGCTCAGGCAGAAAACCCTATCCCATTTCAGACAAATGGCTGTCCAGTCTCTTTTTTAAAACTTCCAGTGTTGGAGCATTCACCGCTTCTGGAGGCAGGTTGTTAATAATAATAAAATTGGAAGGGACCTTGGAGGTCATCTAGTCCGACCCCCTGCTCAGGCAGGAAACCCTATCCCATTTCAGACGAATGATTGTCCAGTCTCTTCTTAAAAACTTCCAGTGTTGGAGCATCCACAGCTTCTGGAGGCAGATTGTTAGTAATAATAATAATAATAATAATAATAATAATAATAATAATAATAATAAAAAAGTTGGAAGGGGCCTTGGAGATCGTAAGCTGAAGACTGCCTGCATTTGATGTAACATGGACAGTGGAGAAAGTTTATCTCTTCTCCCTCTTTCCTGGCTGTCTGAGAAGGGAGGCGACGACAAACCACTTCTGAAAACCTTGCCAAGCAAGCTGCAAAGAGATTCGAAGGCCTGCTGGCCCAGGGAGCGAGGCTCCAATGGCTGCGCCCTCTTTTCTTCCTGGGACACGGTCCCCTCAGATTCCAAAGCTTCCTTAGCTTGTTGACGCCATGAGCTTGAAATTATGGAAGTGCGTCCAGTACTATAATTGGTCCAGGCTGCACGTGGCATCACAAGTCCCTCAGCAAAGTGACACTTGAGCAAAACCCCCTCTTGCAATTCTCAGTTGAGGCTTTTCCCAGAAAAAGGAAAGATTGTGCAACCGTTCTATAAATGTCAGCTGGAACTAAACCCTCCGCAAGAGATTATTGCGTATATTGCAAACTTGGCACAGCTCATTTCCCTCCCCCCCCCACATCGTTCCTTCAAAACAGGGCACCTGTCCCTTTCAGGAAAAGTGGCTCCAGGTCGGTTACCCAAATGCCCCCTATAGTCTGCCAGGCTGCTCTTTCCTCTTACCAAATTGGCAGCTTTGAATTTTGAGCCAATCTGATCAAGTGTTCGACTTCTGCGGCTGGCAGGAGGGTCAGCTGAAAAAAAAAAAAAGCCCCAGAGATCACACACACACGTGCGCAAATTTTGAGCCCTGGGAAGAAGCTCTCCAGCTCCAAGTCTCATTAATAATAATAATAACAATAATAATAATAATAATAATAATAATAATAAGCAACAGACAGTAAGTGCCGCCTATGCAAAGAAGCTGAAGAAACAGTGGACCACTTGGTAAGCTGTTGCAAGAAGATTGCACAGACTGACTACAAGCAGCGGCATGACAAAGTAGCAACAATGGTGCATTGGAAGATCTGCAAAAAATATCATTTGCCTGTAAGCAAAAACTGGTGGGATCATAAAATAGAGAAAGTCATAGAAATGATAAAATTAAACTGCTCTGGGACTTCAGAATTCAAACAGACAAGCA